AACCAAAAAAGAAGAATTCAACATTAATATTCAAAGCTATTTTTAATTAAGAGTTTGACCACTCGTTCAGCTCTATAAACCTGAACATTGTGTCATATAATTTAAAACTCTCAGAATTGAACACTGGGATGATTTTATCATTAACAACCCAAAGACATTCCATGATACTAACTATAGCTTTGCACCAGTGGAAGGATCTGTAGATAGTTTTTGAATACACAGTTCACATTTTAGGATAGATGAACACATAAAGTATCTCTATTTTATGCTTCTGTTAATTTTCCCTAGAGGAACAAACACACATTCAATAAAAACCCTTATGCCTTATTTCTTTGGGTCTTAACATTTGTTATTTGAGAATGGAAAAGATAGGGAAATGTGAAAAATAAAGGAGTATGTTTATCTGCATAGTTGATATTTAGAAGCTACTAACTAAGGCCTTATCTGGAAAAAGCAAGAAAAATCCAAAAAGTGACTTAAAAACACACACACACACGCATCCTATCGTTAGAGATTCAGTGGACCTTAGCCAATTCTGGAAATTAACCAGATGCTTTGTCTGCCTCTGGACCTGGTGCTTTCTACTAACTCACTTGAGCTGGATAAAACTGGTTCCTCCCTCACATTCTCCTTTCCTGACCCTGAGTATGTGCTACAATTTAAATTTACACACACACTCCAACAATCACTGCTCAGCATTTAGCCCTAACTAAAACTGCAGCATCCATTTTTTTCCTGTTACCAGTTTAACAATCACGGGAAAATTCTATGTAATAGTACTACTTAATATGCAGGGATGGAAATGGTGATAAAATGCGTCTTCATCTCCTCCCGGGAGCTGGGGAAAACATGTTTCCTTCTACCCTGACCTTCCCCACCCCTGACCCGGTTAGAAAGTGAATCCTGCCTTCTGTCTCCCATTTTCTTACAACCTGAGCAGCTGATGGCTCCACCTCTTTCATGGGTTGAAGAAGCATGAATTACAAAGGTGCAAAGGCTACAAGAGCATCCAGCTGGCTGTGTGTAGTGCTCACCCCCTTCAGTGCAGAGCTGGATATACCTACAGTTAATAAAATTAGTACACAATCTCTTGATCTGCAAGAATAAGGAGACATACGACTCATTCTTAGAAAGTTAAAAAGCTTAGCTACCCATCCCCAAACAAGTAATAAAGGAAATTAGACTGAGAAGATGGCAAAGTGAGGCAGTTAAAATTCCAGGATCATTTATCAACTCCAATAACCAAGCATTAAAACTTTATCTAACTTTAGCTCCACAACCTTGTCAAAAATCACAGAAACACCGTAAAAGCCTAAAAATAACTACTTAAACTTAGTGTTATCTTTCTCCCTTGTTAACCTGAAACTAAACATTTTATCCCACTTCAAAGATAATGTTTAAATAACAAATATGTATCTAAATTAGAATTCCAGTATTTTTTTAAAAATCATAGGGTGCTTTTTATACGCATCATAAGGGAAACATTTTTTAGCTTCTGCAGGAAGATGATAATACTATTTTTAATTATATAGGACATTTTACAAAAACTCAAAATATTTTTGAAATAGTAAAGTCTCTGATATCCCTGGGAGGTAGGTGAATATGATTATACCCAATTGTCTAATGGGTAATCTGAGGCACGAAGGTTAAACAATATTCCCCCTAGACATAGTCATTCAAGAGTAACACCTGTGAATTCCAGCTGCCTGGCAAGTTTTGCTATCAGGTAACACTACCAGGAGCTTTCGCTTTCTCCTTTTAAGCCACTAGTCTGTTCTTCCCAATTAGAATTTATTGAAAAGGGGGCACTTACTAGGTATATTTTTACGGGGTGTTGAAGGATGGTTCAACTTGGTCTCCCTTAACATGTCACATCTATTTGTTTTCAACAAGAAACTGATGAATCTTAGATACTGAAAGTTATGTTGTTCTGCTCAAGGGAGAAATCTAAATAACCATAAAATCAGATTAAGCCAAATGTAATTATATGGCAAATAAAAAGCAAATGGAAAATCTCTCAAGAACGCTATAGATTATATGAATGTTTTCTTCAGCATCTGAAGTCTTTCTACTTCTGAGTTTATTAACCTTTTAACAGATACGCAGCTATATGATTCCTTCAAAAATCATGTTCCAGAAGAAACTGTAATACATATTTAACATTAACAGTTGCTAACTTCCTTCTAAACTTATTCAGATACCATACAACGGTTCTAATGCCAGCCTTCCCACATTTAGTCTAGCACACCTTATCAACACGACCTGCAAGGTACTCTTGTTATTCCAATGCTTTCTCCTATATTACTTATGCCAAGTTTAAAGAGCACAGAAAAGTGGGTTTTATCCAAGAATAGTCAATGGTTCACTAAGTTTATTTACTTGTAGTAACTGATGTGTGTGTGTGTGTGTGTGTGCGCGTGTGTGTGTTGTGTTGCTGTTAATTTCTACAAACAGATATTTAAAGGGTGAAGATGGCCTGTTGTGAAAAGATACTTTTCTAATCCACCCACTTTAATCAACTAAAAGCAATGGAATAAACAAGGCAGAAGTTTTGCAAACAGTGAAAGGGGAGTGTTTGGAAAGGATGCAATGGTACAGCAGCTCCTAGTTTTATATATATGTAATGTATGTATCTTACACATATATCCATATACATATAAAGAAAAGGAAGAGGGTTACAGCATGACATGATGTTGGCAAGTGTGAGATTCTTCCTCCTGAATCCCCTGACTTATCAGTCTGTACTTTAAGATAATCTGACAAAGGTTTCAAAAGAGGGGAAAAGAAAGAAAAAAGGCACTTAACAAAGACAAAGGCCTGAATTGAGCATGTTTTAGAGGAGTAATATAAGCATTTTACCAGAGCTAAGAAATGATTTACAAAGAGTTAAACTTTTCCCCTTAAAACTTTATAAAATAAAATTGCATAAAATGTTTGTGATCAGTCATTTATCTACTACTGCACTTTTCTTCTGCTTCATTATTACAAACACAAAACCCCCCCAAAGCAAAAAACAACAATCATACATGCACAATAGAAAGTAAAAGTGCCTCTTTTGAGAACATTAGGTCAGCAGAATTACAGTGCTGAAGCACAGGGAAAGTTCTCAAGTTGGGCCTGATTATAGATTTTTCTCATTCTTCTATTTCCAACGTAAAACAAAAACCAAAATACAAAACAAAAAAAAGCAAACAGAAATTCCAAACCTAAATGATAAAAACAACATAGGGACCAGTGTGCTTTTATGCTACACTCCTAAAATAAAGTATCCTAATTCTATACATGAGTCAAATTAGAGGACAAAACATCCTAGAAATAAAGAACTGTAAATTAGATTAAAGTCAACCAATACAGGCAAAGTTCATTTTACAAATGTAGCAGCAAATATGAGATAGATCACTGGAGTTCTAAGAGATGATCCCAAAGGACACAGAGTTCTCATAACCAATGGCAGTTTGAACGACAGTAGAATTTTCATTTCAGAAAATGTCTTGAACCAAGGATAGGTGGAAGGGGTGTGGGAGAGGGCAACCAGAGGAGAAAGACTAAATCAGAGGTGCCTGTCCTTGCCAACCCGGGGAGTAAACAATTTAGATCTGCTTTGGGAAAAAAATATCCTGGGTTAAAAATCATGTCCAATAAGTTTTCAACCAGGTGTCAAACCCACAGTATTCAAAAACATATGTGCCCGGTTCTTCCCCCTTACCTTTGTGATTCAATAAACCCTATTCAATGTTCATGATAGGAAAATGTAATTTGGGCTAACAACATCCATCAGAGGGGTGGTGGGCGTGAAAGAATGTACTATCACCATCTTCTAATTTCCGCAAAATATCAGAATTTTGTGACTACAGATTAGCCTCATTTCCTTTCCTAAAACCTTTTTCTTCAGGCTGTTTTAAAATCATGATTTCATTTACCCTCTGACCTCAAAAGCATACAAGACTTACAATTGACTTATAATGGAAATTATTGCTTGCATTTATTCTGGAGGCTCTGAATGAGCTTGACACTTGGCTCCCAGTCTCCATCAGCACAGCTATCTCCGAGGACAACTCTGCTGACTGTTATTGCTTGTGAATACTGAGGATTAACTTGTATGTACAGTAACAGCTTATATATCAGTGAAGGCAATTTAAAATATAAAACAGTTCAAAACAAACAGCTTAATCTTCCTGAATCAAGAATCCCGAGGAGTGGGACATAATCATGTGTGCTGATTATTTTTGCATTTGGATGTTGCTAATGCTCTTCAGAAATACACGTTGCTCTATAGATATCCTTTCCAATGACTCACCATTTTAAAAAATAACATAATTTGATTTTTAAGTGCAAAAATACAGTATGAGTCACAAGTCTCTGTGCTAAAAAATAACCAATTTATATGTCTGTTTTTAGTAATAAAAACGGTAAAGACAGGTGACCATGGAGTATGGACACCTTTTTCAATGTTATGATCTAGAAAAGAAATAGATTTGTATTTACATGTAGAAACTTTCTGATCATACTTTATACAGAAATACAAGGATGCTTGACCGATTCATACAACATAAAAGGGGGGTCCTGACTAAAATGAGTATGTCGTCAGTGCAGATGAGGGTTTAAGGTGGGAATCTGACAGCAGTCCTCAAGCAATCAAGACTAAAGAGAACACAGCAGAATCTCCGTATTATATTCTTGGAGCCATGGGCCTTCAGATATTTTTACTGGTTAGCATAAAACGCTACAGGGAAAAGAACTGATTATCCTGTTCTTTTCTAATGATGAGAGTCACCAGGGATTTTCACATGGCATGATTCAGAATTGATGGTTTTAAGAAATTCAAATGATTTTTTGACTCAAACTAGTCATTTATGTGAATATATGTGTGTATGTATATATACAGACAGACATATATATAATTATCCAGGAAAAGAGATTAATATGCACTTTGACTTCTCTTGTGGTATGAGAAGTAAAACAAAGGCTACCTTCCCAAAGGAAAATCCCATCACTTACCCTAGTATTAAGCAAAGACCTTTTTATTCAAATTTCATAAAAGCAAGAGGTCGACTACATTTGAAAACATCAAAAAACTGGGTAAGCATCCCTAATTGAAACCAAGCAAACCTTTATCAAACATTGAATTCAAGTCAAACTTCTCTGCAACATCCTCCCAGTATCCTACCAAAATATCCACTGCGGCTCACACTACATCCATATTTGTTCTCTTGGTAAACTAAATTCTTAGAGTCAAGAAACTGTATCAGTGATTCCTTTGAAATAATAATCCTTTCCCTTTACTGTAACAAGTTCTTGGAACTAAAGTTTTCAGTTATTTATTAACTTTTTCGCTATGAAGCAAGCCAATGTGACTTTGAAGTCAAAATATAGGCATACAGATCTGAACAGATCTGTGGTTATTTCTTCACAGTCCTGTAGGATATCTGGAACTTTTGTGTATAAAAGAAAAAGGGCCTGGTTAATACTCTTATTTGAATAAATTTAATGGTATAGTGTAATGTGTAATAAGCACATATGCAAGAAATCTTGCTAGTACCAGTCTGTTGTTTTTTTAGGTTAGTGTGTCATTAGAAATGGATCAAGCTTATACCATTTAGAGTTTATACCATTCTCCAATATAGTCTGAAAATATTCAGAAGCTTAAAAAACTAGAATAATGAGGCCAAAAGAAAGAAAGCCCAAGTCAAATCAAATGTAGCCAAGGAGAACCATAAATTTTTACCTTAACATCCTTTGTTGAATATGCTATTTGCATAAGGAAGCTATAATAACTAAGGAGTCTTATTAACTGCAGATTTACTCACATATCAATACACTGAGTAAGTATCAGTAAAGCTTTAGGATCTCAAATGCTCCAAACAATTTCACTACACTGGATACAGGGAGTAAAAATATATTGTGATTGTGATCCTAATGTAATTCCTCCCTTTAAAATACCATCTTAAAAATTCAGAAACTATATTTATGCCATTTGAATGACCAATGAAGAAACACAGTTTATACTTCTACCTGTTTATATATCAATAGCTAATAATCACCTGAAGTACCACTAGCTAAAAGAACAGAAGGAGAAGTTGTAAAGTTAGATGAATTGGGGGAAACTTAAAAGAGAGTTTATGTTGCTGTAAGGGCTAAAAGCAGCAAAGCAATAACCCTGTAAAGATCCCCATTTCTCAAGAGAAAAATGTGAACACAGTCACATTTTAACATCGAGAATGCAAATAAGAATTAACCAGGCAATACCAGATGCACAAATCACCTGAAGAAAAGAGTTAAGTACCTGCTTCTGAACGGAAGATGAAATTGACCCTTTTACAAAAAGGGGACATCTAAGTTTCATCTCTTAAGAGCAACAGGCTCAACTTCCTGATTTTAAAAAATCTAGATATATATCGCTGTGCTAAAATAACTTTCCTGAAGGATCTTTAGTCCACTGATTTACATGGGGAGTTGCTACACACTGGAGAAGATTCAAGTTTGTTCAGGATTTTTGAGGGTATGGTATTTCTTCAGCTACTGCCTATCGGAGAATCATTATATCTATTTTTTTGTGGCAAATTTGCTACACAGTCCACTCAAAGACATGATCATTATTCCTGACAAACTGGCCTAATTCCAGTTTTTAATGCCTTTTATTATGCAATTATGTCGGTAAGTGTTCAGATCCAACCCCCAGGATGGATGGAGTTTACCCAAATTCTCTTGCCTTCCTTCTTCCTCCCCCGGGAAAAATCAAATTTGTATTTCTGTGGGTTTGACAACTGAGTGTCTTTCAAGTCTGTTAATATGGTAACTTTGTCTTTCTTTAGAAGAGACCAAAGGTCACTAACTTTGCACAAAAGCATTTCTTCCTCCTGCACCTGGCTTTGCTCAAGTAATGTTTTCTTTTCTTTTTCCTCCTCACCACAGTGCTTGGGACGAGAGAATGTAAACATCGACAGAAACAGCAGCCCTATGACCACATAAGTACTTTCCCATCAGGTAGATTCCATCAGTCAACTAAACATTTCGTCTCCTTTGCTTGCTGGGCAGTCACTGAGATTTCCGTGGTAATTTAGTGTCCCCTTTACTTTGGCCTCCATCTGAGAAAAAGAGATGTTAAATTGGTATCGGTCCATGTTACAAAAACCAGGTAAGAAAAACAAAGCAAAAGGAACAATTAATTTTTAGCTTTTGTGGACGACATCTCTGAAAAGATAACTTTTAGTATCTTGCATGCTATATAGGATTATAGAGGTTGATAAAACATCAAGGAGATAAAAACGCAACAACAAGGATCCTCTTTTCTCAAATGACTGTGTTTTTCAGTGTTCTATAAATATTATTTCAACAAGTATTTATCATTTACTTCCCAGCTGATTGTGTCAAATGCTGTGAGAGGGTCATAAAGGAACCAGAAGACACAATTCCCACCTCTGAGGGACCCACTACATCTTTCAATTCCTTTAGAAGAACAAGGTCAATTTATTTTTTTATAAGTGAAGTAAAATTTCTTGCCAGGACACAGCTTTTCGTAATTCCTGGTTATTTGTGTAGCACACTTTTCACCTGTAGTAAAAAACATCCAGCTGAGTCTGTGTGCTCATTCTAATCTAGCTTTAAGTGACAGGGAAGTCTGCTACCAGGACAATGCTCTTTCTTTTTTTTTTGCTCTTTCTTTTTTTAAGAGGTGGAGTCTCACTATGTTTTCCTACAGCCTCAAATTCCTGGGCACAAGCAACCCTCCCGCCTCAGCCTTCTAAATAGTGGGACCACAGGTGTGTGCCACCACACCAGATCAAAATAATTTCTATTTTTACATATTGCTGTTTAAATGCTTGCAGAGAAAAATGCTGATCACTCCATTTAAGCTTCAACTAAATTGGAGGCTGGATAGAGGAGAGGAAAGGGGGATACCAGAACAAGGGTAGGGCCCAGTGACCTGGAGAGCCAACAGGTACATGGCCTTAGCAAGAAAAATGAGGCCCCAAAGACAATCCAGGTCTGACAGCAAAGGACTGGGGAAGGAAACCTTTTACTCTGAGGGGAGAGGCATGAATGGCAGAAATACATAGATGAAAAGGAACCAATTTGACCAGGGTTTGGTGAACTACAGTCCATAGGCCAAATATGGTTCCCTGCCAGCTTTTGTAAATAAAGTTTTATTTACAGCCACACTCACTTGTTCAAATATTGCCTATGGCTGTTTTTCACTACAATGGTCAGTTGAGTAGTGGCAACAGAGACCATACAGCCTGCAAAGCCTAAGATATTTACTATTTTACGGAAAAATTTTACTGACTTTTGTTTTAGACTAGATAAAATTAAAATAATTAACATTAACTGAACTCTTACTATGCATCAGGTACCAGGCTAGAAGCTTTAAATCAATTAATTTTTATTAACTTCTCCTATCAAGTCAATAAAAACATTTGTTGTCCACATTTTACAAGAGAAAGTGATGGTCAAACAAGTTAAGCCTACTTAAACTGGCAGTTCCGGAATTCAAAAATCCAAGTCTGATCCTAAAGTTCAGTGACTCATACTTTAAAATGTTTCTCAAAGAAAAAATTTTCAAACTTAAATTTATTTATTTTTTTTCAGACAGATTCTCACTCTGTCATTCAGGCTGGAGTGCAGTGGCACAATCACAGCTCACTACAGCCACAACCTGCCAGACGCAGGTGATCCTCCCACCTCAGCCTCCCGGGTAGCTGGAACTACAGGTGCCTGTCACCATGCCCAGAAATCTTTTTGTATTTTTTGTAGAGACGGAGTTTTACCAGGTTGACCAGGGTGGCCTTGAACTCCTGGACTCAAGCATCCACATGCCTTGGCCTCCCAAAATGCTGGGATTACAGGCATGAGCTACCATATTTCCCTGCTCTTCAGGAGTGAGAAAGGAAAAATACCAACAATCATATTGCCTTTCTCCCTCCTGAATAGCAGTGCTGCATAGATGAGAGAGTTTATGTAAGAACAAACACTGGGGGATCTTTTTGAGCCAAGAGAATCCTGCTTGTTTAATTGCAGGTGGCTACATTCATGCCAATCTGCCCAAGAGTACAATATTCTCAGCTGGATTCATTATACCAAGCAGTGTCTACACCCAGGGAGGAAGTGCTTTAGTCACAGGGCAATTCTCTTTAAATATTGAAACTAGTCAGAGTTCAGGAAGATCGGGATTGCTGACTTTGTGCCACGAATCTGTTACCCATTTTACACTACTGTGATTTTACACTCACTCTCGAGGGTGAGACTGGGACAGCTCACCACTTAGTTCTTTGGAAGGATTAATGGCAATCTATTGCCTCAAGATTGCTCCTCAGTCCCCATCTCTGCACTGTGGTCAATGGTAAACTGGTTCAAAAATTATTATTTATTTATTTATTTATTTATTTATTTATTTATTTATTTCAAAGATGGGGTTTCACCATGATGGCCAGGCTGGTCTTGAACTCCTGACCTCAGGTGATCCACCCACCTCAGCCTCCCAAAAGTGATAGGATTACAGGCGTGAGCCACCGTGCCCGGCTGGATTCTTTATTTTTTTTCCTGAGACAGAGTCTAGCTCTGTCGCCCATGCTGGAGTGCCGTGGCACGATTTCAGCTCACTGCAACCTCCACCTCCAGGTTTAGCCTCCGCCTCCTGAGTAGTTAGGATTATAAGTGTGCACCACCATGCCTGGCTAATTTTTGTATTTTTAGTAGAGACGGGGTTTCACCATGTTGGACAGGTTGGTCTCGAACTCCTGACCTCATGATCCGGCCGCTTTGGCCTCCCAAAGTGTTGGGATTACAGGTGTGAGCCACTGCACCTGGCTCAAAGATAATTTTTAATGCAGTGGCCAAAAAAGAAAACTTTTCAAAGTTAAGAGGCCAGCTGAACAGTTATTTCTGCTCAAAAGATCCTGAAAATTGGCTTCAGAATAATATCAACATCTGTGGAGGTCAACTGCTGGGGAAAATGAGAAGCTGGAGGCCAGTGCGTTATGCGTAGTACCCACTGACTAATGTCAGATTTCAGAGCAATATGGCTGCCTGCAAGGACATAATGCATACAGCTTGGATCATAGGAATTTTTCTTTTTTTTGGAGGGGGAGGTTCTTTTTTTAAATTGCATTTTAGGTTTGGGGGTACATGTGAAGAACATGCAAGATCGTTGCACAGGTACACACATGGCAGTGTGATTTGCTGCCTTCCTCCCCTTCACTTTTATCTGGCATTTCTCCCCATGCTCTCTCTCCCCACCTCCCCACCGGCCGCTGTCCCTCCCCTATTTCCCCCCAAGGAATTTTTCTTTTTGAGACGGAGTCTTGCTCTTTTGCCCAGGCTGGAGTGTAGTGGCATGATCTTGGCTCGCCGCAACCTCTGCCACCTGGGTTCAAGCAATTCTCTTGCCTCAGCCTCCCGAGTAGCTGGGACTATAGGAATGCGCCACCACACCCAGCTAATTTTTGCATTTTTAGTAAAGATGGGGTTTCACCATATTGGCCAGGCTGGTCTTCAACTCCCAACCTCAGGTGACATGCCCTCCTTTGCCTCTCAAAGTTCTGGGATTACAGGAGTGAGCCACCAGGCCCAATAGGATCATATTAATTTCATCATCGCTAAAATGACAAAGACATTTATTTAATAGCTAACACAGGTCATGGAGTTAAGACTTCCTGCACTAGTACCTCAGATCAAACATTTATTAGTGTATTATCCTGGGCAAGCTGCTTAGCTTTGTGATTCAGCTTCGTGTTCTGTAAAGCGGAAATCATCATCTATCATTCATGAACTTGCTGTAAGGATTAAGTTATCGAATCCATGTAAACTGTCACAAGACTGTGGCATTTAGTAGGCTTTCAATACATGTAAACTACTATCGTTACTGTATGTAACTTTTGTTATCTTATGGATCCTCTCCTTAGTCGTCATTTCCACATGATAAACACCTTCAAAAAGGCTCTTTTTATGTTACGTAAATCTCATTTACCTATTTCCTTCCTCTTAAACAGGAATTTGTGGCTGGGTACGGTGGCTCACGTCTTTAGTCCCAGCACTTTGGGAGGCGGAGGTGGGTGGATTATAAAGTCAGGAATTTGAGACCGGCCTGGCCAACATGGCGAAACCTTGCCTAATAAAAATACAAAAATTAGCCAGGTGTGGTGGCAGGCACCTACTGTAATCCTAGCTACTCCAGACGTTGAAGCAGGAGAATCCCTTGAAGCTGGGAGGCAGAGGTTGCAGTGAGCCAAGACCATGCTATTGCACTCCAGCCTGGGTGACAGAGTGAGACTCCATCTCAAACAAAAAAAAAAAAAAAAAAAAAAAAAAGGAATTTGTTGCTAATGAGGGAAGAGCATTCAGTCACATGAAAGTCTGCATTTTCCAACCTTTGGTCATCCCATTCACATTGTTTTCAGAAAATAAAAGTATAATCCATATCTATAAGCCTATACAAATAAGAAAGATATGAAGTAGGTGGTGGTCTCACCGTGAAATGCTTGCTGTAAGTGTGCAGGCAGAGGTGAGTGGGAAAGCGTCGTTGCATGCTGAGCTCCTGGCTGTAAACCCTTTAGTAAATCTGAGAGGAAAACAGACTTGTCAGTCATCTTTAAACCCAGACTGGAGCCCTTTTAGTTCAAAAATGAAAACTGATTTATGTATTGCAGGCATAGCACCTGACTTCAAAGGCCTTCTAAAACTAGAGCACTTTTTTTTTTTAAAAGACGGGGTTTCACCATGTTGGTCAGGCTGGTCTTGAACTCCCGACCTCAGGTGATCCGCCCACTTTGGCCTCCAAAGTGCTTGGATTACAGGCGTGAGCCACCATGCCCGGCCCTACAGCATATTTTTAAAAATTTACTTAATGTATGTGTATGCACATAACCCAACACATTTGACTTCTTCTTAACAATTTCATTAAGATGGAAATGTGGTACAGACAGCTTAAAAACTGTATACAGAATCCCGGAGTCCGATAATTTGACTTACTATTTAGAGATAAAGTGCATTTCTTAAAAATAAAAATTAAAAAAACCATAATCTTTATTAACTCCAACTGGCTACTCTTAATTAGAATAAATTCGTGAGGTTTCCTGTTTCATCAAACTAGACAGCCAACTAAATAGAAGAACCCCACTTACTCTGAGTTAGGCTATGGTGGAAAGCGGCTGAGGTAGATCCCGACGTGGCTGTCACTCCAGCTGTGTCCGTTCCAAAGCCAAATATCTCCAAGGGAAACTGGAAGGGCATGGTCACTGGAACAAGGCCACCCAGCATCCCAAAAGGAGTCACATTTTGATTTGACACAGACAAAGGTGATGTCATGAGAGTCAGAGGTGAGGCATTAGCCAATAATGATGCTCCTGCTGTGGACTGTGCAGAAACCAGGGGTCAAAATACATAAGAAAGAGAGTAACCCAAACTGATTTTACATAAAATCCTCACAGATGCAAGACTGTGCCTTACATCTGCTCTAATAGAAATTTTGTGAGACAGGTTCTTCATTACCACTGTAGGTTCCGTAGACACTGTTAGTTTACTGGCACTTACGTTAACACCCATGCACTCTCTCAATCTACTAATTCCTAACCTTTGACTCCCACTTCTACACTTTTGCTCTTAGTCCAAAGACTTGAACTATGAGTAAGTAATTCTGTGCAATTTCAGCTGGGTCTCTGAAAATGCCCACTTTACTATTTGTCTCCTTATTTTTCCTGCAGCTGCTGCTCCAGACTGCTGCTTTCAGGGCCCTCTACTTGGTATCCTTTGCTGTCATCACATCGGTTTAGAGAGACGAGGCCAAAGAGTTCTTCCTGGTCATAAGCCTCACCTACCCTTCTCCAAAGCTAACCACCTGACTTACACTGTGAATTCCCACCACGCGGAACTTTTTTGTACAAGTATCTAGTACTGCACCTTTTCCATGTTTCCTCTGCCTTCTCAGATAAATTATTTCTTTTTACAACCACACTGTTATTCTAGCTCGTCCCCAACTCCTAGCAACTATCTAATTTGTCTTCCTTTTATTATCAAACAGAGTGAGAGCCTTCAGTTTCCTTAGTTCTAGTCTCTCTCTAACTCTTGAAAGCTGGTTTTCCCTTATTACTTTTCTGAAATTATATTCCTTAAGGTAAAAGATAAATTGGAGAGTTTTCTCACACTCCCCTACCTGGGCTATGATGCCATGTTTACAAATAAAAACACTGAAATAAGAAATATGCTAATATATTTAGACTACAGGGAGGACTTTAGAAAAATCAAGAAATAAGAAATATACTACCATGGATAGGCTTTCACAGGGAACTTACTTAAATATATTCCCCCTGCTCAACTTCCCCGCTTTTTTGAGACAGGGTCTCCTGCTGCCCACGCTGGAGTGCTGCGGTACAATCACAGCTCACTGCTGCCTCAACCTCCTGGAGGCTCAAGAGATCCTCTCACCTCAGCCTCCCCAGTAGCTAAGACTACAGGCACATGCCACCATACCCAGCTAACATTTTTTGTATTTTCTGCAGAGACAGGGTTTCACCATGTTGCTCAGGCTGGGCTCGAACTCCTGGGCTCAAGCAATCTCCCCACTGCCCTGGCCTCCCAAAGTGCTAGAATTATAGCGTGAGCTAGAAGACCTGGCAAATATACTCCTATAGCTAGTTTAATTCTTTGAACAATTTTTTTTTTGAGACGGAAGACTGATTATTTCAAAAAAATTTTGTCCTTTTGCTTCTGGTGAAATAATGATTTCTTAAGTTAATGTATAAGAAAAATGCAGACAATGGTTCCATACATACATGCCACGACATTACATATATTTACACACTCAAGAGTCTACGCCACTGCTGAACAAAAAATGAAGAATATCCTCAAGCAGCCTTCTATTCTGGTTCTTTAACTGCCTCCCTTCCCCTTATCTCCTTTGTTTACTGAAATTTATATCCGTAGTTCTGGCCTCTCATCTCAATTTCCATCCTGTATATCTGAGAGTTAAGTGAATAATTCCACTTGACTATCTAGCACCAACTTGACATATCCCAAGCTGAAATCATCTTCTCCAATCAGTTCCCTCATCTTCCGCCAACTGCTTTCATCAAGGAATTCCATTCTTTCCAGAGGGGTTAAAAACCTTAGTTTTTAGGCATCATAAAATGATGACATGATAGCCAACAAACCCATTCATTTTACCAAAATTTCCTCTTACACTTAAGCACAACTCTTCACCACTCCATGTCTGAACTGGACGGTTTTCCTTAATTCCCAGTCTTTCCCATACTGTGCCAACTACGATATACAAAGTGGTACATTTAGAAAAAAATTACCAAGTTAGGCCGGACGCGGTGGCTCACGCCTGTAATCCCAGCACTTTGGGAGGCCGAGGCGGGTGGATCACGAGGTCAAGAGATCGAGACCATTCTGGTCAACATGGTGAAACCCCGTCTCTACTAAAAATACAAAAAAAAAATTAGCTGGGCATGGTGGCGCGTGCCTGTAGTCCCAGCTACTCAGGAGGCTGAGGCAGGAGAATTGCCTGAAACCAGGAGGCGGAGGTTGCAGTGAGCCGAGATCGAGCCATAGCACTCCAGCCTGGGTAACAAGAGCGAAACTCTGTCTCAAAAACAAAAAACAAAAACAAAAACAAAAACAAAAACAAAAAATTACCAAGTTAGAAATAATATCGTAAAGCAACTAGGACAGAAAGGATCAACTTAAAAATTACCCAGTTTCGGCTGGGTGCAGTGACTCACACCTGCAATCCTAGTACTTCGGGAGGCTGAGGTGGGTGGATCATAAGGTCAGGAGTTCAAGACCAGCTTGACGAACATGGTAGTCTCTACTAACCCCACCTCTACTAAAAATACAAAAGTACAATAATTAATTAATACAATACAAAAATACAAAAATTAGCCAGGTATGGTGGCATGTGTTTGTAATCCCAGCTACTTGGGAGGCTGCGGCAGAAAAATCCTTCCAGCTTGAACCTGGAAGGCAGAGGTGGCAGTGAGCTGAGATCACACCACTGCACTATAGCCTAGGTGACAGAGCAAGACTCTGTCTCAGAAAAAAAAAATTAACCAATGTTGCTTCTTCTTTTAATCATAATTCTATTGTAGTCTTGGGATGATAAAGAATCTCCAAGGCTGTGTGCCTCAACTGAAGTTCCCTAGTGAGGAACATTAAATACTGTTAATAAGGGGAATCTGTTATTTTATTTATTTTTTTGAGATGGAGTCTTATTGTCACCCAGGCTGGAGTGCAGTGGCACGATCTCCGCTCTCCGTAACCTCTGCCTCCTGAGTTCAAGCGATTCTCCCGCCTCAGCCTCCCAAGTTGCTGGGATTACAGGTACCACCACGCCCAGCTATTTTTTTTTCACTTTTAGTAGAGACAAGGTTTCATCATGTTGGCCAGGATGGTCTTGATCTCTTGAAGTCGTGATTCACCATGCCCAGCCTATAAGAGGAATCTTTTAAAGCTTTTAGAGTGTAACTGAAGCATTAAAATATATACAAAATCAGTGTCACGCACCATGGCTCACTCCTGTAATCCCAGCACTTTGGGAGGCCAAGGCAGGTGGATCACCCAAGGCCAGGAGTTCAAGACCAGTCAGGCCAACAGGGTGAAACACCACCTCTATTAAAAATACAAAAATTAGCTGGGCATGGTGACACTCGCCTATAATCCCAGGTTCTCCAGAGGCTGAGGCAGGAGACCTGCCTGAACTGTGGAGGAGGTGCTTGCAGTGAGCCAAAATTGTGCCACTGTACTCCAGCCAGGGCAACAGAGCGAGACCTTGTCTCAAAAAAAAAAAAAAAAAAAAAAAAAAAAAAAAAAAAAAAAAAAGCAAAATGCAAATTAGGGCAATTTCCAAAATTAAATAACTCGAGTATAGCAATAAAAAAGTGATACTACGCCGTAACTGTCTAACATTTTACATTTTCAAGTAACTTCTGTATCTACTTTGTTTATAAATCTAAATAAAAGCATCAGATAATCTAAATATGACATGAGTATTTGTAAATCTCTCTATCCTAAAAGATGGAGATCATTCAGCAGTGGGGTATTCCAACGTTGGTATAATCTGGGAGCATGCACAAGAAATCAGCATGAAACAGGTAAATAGTTCAGGATTATGCCCTGTAATCAAAAGTACTTTCCATGACTTCTACATTTTATTCCCAGGGAAAAACACTGAAGGGAAACCTTGCTCTTCCCGTAGTGGGGATTACTTTTTTTTTTTTTGAGACGGAGTTTCACTCTTGTTACCCAAGCTGGAGTGCAATGGCGCGATCTCGGCTCACCGCGACCTCCGCCTCCTGGGTTCAAGCAATTCTCCTGCCTCAGCCTCCCGAGTAGCTGGGATTACAGGCACGCGCCACATGCCCAGCTAATTTTTAGTATTTTTAGTAGAGAAGGGGTTTCACCATGTTGACCAGGATGGTCTTGATCTCTCGACCTCGTGATCCACCTGCCTCGGCCTCCCAAAGTGCTGGGATTACAGGCTTGAGCCACCGCGCCCGGCGGGTATTACATTTTTTTAAACCACATGCTCTACTTTGGTGAGTGCACTGGTCCCCCATTCCCCATAATACCGAAAGTAACCTTTTGAAATGCACATCAGACCATACCAGTCCCCTGTTTAAGAACCCCCAGTAGCTTCCCACTGCACAGAGAATAAAATCCAAAGTCTTTATTGTGGCCCGCAAGATCCTCCATGACATGGTTCTGCCCTCTCATCTCATTACCTACCACTCTCCCCGCAGGGTCCAGCCATCAGGCCTTTGCTTCAGGCTCTATTCCATCTCAGTGTCTTCACACAACTGTTTCCTCTGGCCTGAACTATTTTTCCTTCTTTTCTCAACATGGCTGGCTTCTGCTCATTCAATTCTCGACCAAATGTTACCTCTTCAAAGAGGCCTTCTTCAACTTCCTTATCTATGTTAGTAGCAATCACTTTTATCATATTATCCTACAATCTTTTTCATCGTATTTACCACATTTTTAAAAAAAACTTGTGTTTTTCCATGTCTTCCTACCTAGAACAGAGATGTTGAGTATGCTGTTCACCCCTATTTCTCCAGCACCTAGAATAGTGCCTGGCACATAGTAAACACTCAATAAACATTTGCTTAATGAATTAATGATGTTTGGAATTATAAAGTGGCAAAGACAGGATTTACAGACAATCAGGAAGTTGAAGGGTAAGAAAGAGGAGGAAACCCCTGTGTAGAAAGTAATTAAATAGAAAGCAAGCAGAGCTAACAACATGAACACAGAAGGGGCTTAACTTTTGCCATTTGTTAAAGGACCTGTCATTTTCACTCTACAAATGAGTAGACACCCACAGATGCCTTTCAGACAGAAGGTGAATGCTTTACAGACATAGATAGGAAATCTGTTTTTAGTGTTGGAGAGCTATAGACAGGTTCTAGAGGCCACAAGACAGCTGGTAAGACTTCACTGAGATGCTATGTTAAAACAAAAAGAACCTTAGTTTTGCCAAAGGGTAGAAATTACCTTATTCGATTAATAACCTTTTCTTCAGTCAAAACAGGAAGACAGAAAAAAAAAAAAAGGATCAGATATGAAAGCAGGAACACTTTAGTCTCCAAATCATAAAGCCACTTGGGAGAGGAAGAAAACCCAGGAGTTTTCAGAAAGGCATATTTTGCCAAGTAACCTCCATGCTGACAAACCAATCATTCATTAGGCAGTATAAGGGTTCTTTTGCAATAAATGATCAAATACAGGAAGATCTTTGGGAACAAAATAGAACTGAAGATTATAGAGATGACAAAGGATGAACAAAGATTTAATCTTAAAGGAAAACAAAGCAAATAAAAAGGGAATTTTTAATTCCAAAAAAAAAAACTCCCCAAATTTTTATAGTAAAATTTGTAAAATTAAGTGTTTTCCATTTATTATTCTTATTTAAAAACACAAAGAAGAAAATGCCGAGAGAGATAAAAATAGTTAAGCCTAGGAGGAGGAGATAACCATTTAGGTAGGGAACTACCATTTATGCTATCTTTTCACTTATTCCTTTGATCAAATTAAGGATAAATTTTAAGAAGAGTAAACTTTTCAATAAAGATAATATAAACAGTAATGCAGACTAACTCCAACCTTGCATATACTTTTCTTTTTTTTTAAATGGGAAGGCCTTTTAAAATCCATCTTGATACTCATTTTAACATATAATTCCTAATATCAATTTGTTATTGTTTTATTTCTGATGAAAGTAAATTTATATACATAAAACATCAGTTAATCCTAGATTTCAATTAATGAATTACCAGTTAGCTGAATTTGTTCTACATTAGAATTCTGGCATCAAGTCATTCCTATGCCTACATTAGTGGCAGAACGGTGATTTCAGTATACAATGTATACTGAATGTATACAATGTATATGAATATCAACCTTTAGACTGTATTGAACAACAGGAAATCTTGATATATAGCAAGGGGAAAATCTTCTCATTAGATATTCCTGTTCCACATAAATAGGAGGCAGTACAAAGAGCACTTCCTTAGACAACACAATTCCATAAATCAATAAAAGTTACATTTTCAAATAATATTTAAGCATCAAAGAACATTCATATCATAAAATGGTATTTTTTTTTTTTTTTGCCGGTTATAAAATGAAGTATAAAACACGTTTGTTAAAAAAAGTCTTAAAAAGTACCTACAAAGCATAAACAGAGTTGGGATAATAGGTGATTTTTATTTTCTTTTTTCTAAACTTGCCTTCAGTGAGCACATATTACTTTTAGGGGAAAAATGTTAAACTAAATCATTAACATAAAGGACAAATCTAAGAGTGTCAGAATTAGTGGCAGAGAGATGAAAACAGTAACAGAAGATGACATGGAAGACAGATGAAATACAGGCCGGGTGCAGCGGCTCACAGCTGTGATCCCAGCACTTTGGAAGGCCAAGGCAGGCAGATCACTTCAGGTCAGGAGTCTGAAACCAGCCCAGTCAACATGGTGAAACCCCGTCACTGCAAAAAAATTTAAAAATTAGGCCACGTGCAGTGGCTCAAGCCTGTAATCCCTGCACTTTGGGAGGCTGAGGCAGGCAGATCACCTGAAGTCAGGCATTCAAGACCAGCCTGGCTGACCATCTCTATGAAAAATATAAAAATTAGCCAGGTATGGTGCCATGCACCTGCAATACCAGCTACTTGGGAGGCTGAGGCAGGAGAATTGCTAGAACCCGGAAGGTAGAGGCTGCAGTGAGCCAAGATCATGGCATTGCACTCCAGTCTGGGCGACAGAGGAGACTCTATCAAAATAATAAATTAATAAATATACAAAAATTAGCCAGGAGTGGTGGCAGGCACCTGTAATCCCAGTTACTTGGGAGGCTGAGGCAGGAGAATCTCTTGAACCCAAGAGGTGGAGGTTTCAGTGAGCCGAGATTGTGCCACTGCACTCCAGCCTGGATGGAAGAGCAAGACTCCGTCTCAGGGAAAAATTTAAAAAAAAAAAAAAAAAAAAAAGAAACACAACAATGATAAAGAGTTCTCAAAATCTGACAATAAATGGATCAGAAACAGTAATCAGACACATAATAAAATATTCTTGATCTAAAATAAATAAGCAGGTTTGAGATGGGAGCTACTACTATGTTCTAGGTATACAATTAATAAAAACTAGGCAGAGAAAAAATATTAATGATAAGGGAACAAAAAAATCCAAATGGCCTCAGACTTCTCCATAATCCTAAATACTAAGTAAGGGTCACTGGAGCAGTATTTACAAAATTTGGAGTGGAACAGTTAGTGCCCTGAGGCGGCTATGCCTACCCAAGTCTGATAGCACAGAAGGAAATTATCAAGTGTACATATGCTAAGGTAAAATAGCATTCACACTACCTACCCCTCCTTTTTTTATTTTTTGAAATGGAGTTTTGCTCTGTTACCCAGGTTGGAATGCAGCTCACTGCAACCTCCGCCTCCCAGTTTAAGCGATTCTCCTGCCTCAGCATCCTGAGTAGCTGGGACTTACAGGCATGTGCCACCATGCCCAGTTTAATTTTTTTGTACGTTTAGTAGACTTAGGGTTTTGCCATGCTGGCCAGGCTGGTCTTGAACTCCTGACCTCAAGTGATCTTCCCACCTTGGCCTCCCAGAGTGCTGGGATTATAGGCATGAGCCACCATGCTTGGCTACCCTTCTTGAAAAGGTTGCTTGAGTGAAGCATTCAGTGAAGTTTAAACTAAAAATTCATGAATGGGAAAATTGTGGTGTAAAAGGACTACTGAAACTAATTTTACATAGAAAATTACATATAACTACAAAATTAATGCAAAATAAAAATTTTGAGAAGATAGATGATTAAAAAATAACATGAATGTATAAATTTGATTAAAAAATAATAAAGTTGGCAGGAGAAAAAGGAAAGAGAAGAGCTAAGTGAATGTTTGTTAAATGCCTAAGTTACTACTTTGTTCTGGACTTTGCTAAGAAAGAAACTTTGAAATATGCATTTTAGTTGTGCTTTTCCAAATAATTTTAAAGTTGATTTAGTAATGGTTGCTTGTAACAAAGATATATTGTTCTGTCAGACAGCTGAATGCTGGTGCACCTTTGTTTTTTAAAAAAACCCACATCCCAACAAACACCTCATCTACAAGCGTGCCTGTCACTGTGACGTCAGCATCAGGAGTATCCCATGGCCGTAGGCTGTAATAAGCCTATTGAGAACAATCCACATATTATAAAAAGCTTATTAAAGTTACCCACAAGAAAGATTACACTAAACAATCTTACTGTTTATCACATGAATGCACAGAAGATACATACCTGCACACTGGCGGTTACCACTGAAGACCCTGAGGCGGTAGATGGTCTATGTGGAGTAGACAATGGTTTGGTAGCACCCTGTGTTCCACTTCCTGTTCCCCCAGATAGACTAGTCCTATTAGCTCCGCTTGAGTTAAGGTTGCTACTACCTCTGCTGGCAGGTACATTCATTGCAATTCCACTCAAGCTATTCTTCCCAACAGTTCCAGTGGATGATGAGTTTGTTAGCTTTGAGGGGGCCTGAAGATTTTTTGTAGATGGAAGGCCTGAAGTGCGGTTAGAGGGCAATAAATTCAAGGTGGGAGACTGTCTGCTGATATTCATTCCACTGGGCTGTTTATGGACCGGGTTGTTAGTGCTGGAGTGGCTACTCTGGGCTACTAGTGCATTTGGACTTGTACTACTAGAGGATACAGTAGGCTTGGGAGTTGGGTTGGATTTAGAAATAAGTTTAGTTGATACTGAAGGCTTAGCTGACAGAGAGGGCTTGGGTGAGGCAGAAGGCTTAGGTGAGGGTAGGGGTTTAGGAGATGTGGCAGGCTTGGGAGATGCTGCAAGTTTGGGGGAGGCAGCCATCGAGAAGGGAGATTTGAAACCCTGCGTGGAGATTTGTGACACCATAGCCTTGGCTAAATAGTTACTGGAGGTAGTGGTGCTAGGTACTGTCCTAGAAACCAGGGGGTGGGACCCTTGAGAACCATTTCCAGGTGAGGGGGTAGATAAGGGAAGGCGGTACATAAGTGGCTTATCTGAAGTCTTAATAAGTGAGGAGGAACAGGAGAGTTGGGGATTATTACTTAATTTCACCACGGGATTGGTCTGGGATTTACTGATGGTGGCCTGTAATGGAGACACATAGTTCTGCTGGACAGCTGAATGCTGGTGCACCTTTGTTACTTGTGTTAACGAAGAAGCATCTTGGGCCTCAGATGTTCCCAGAGCATGAGAAGAGGCAGCAATTTGGGCTTGGGAGGAAGAGGAGACATGAGTCTGTGAAGAGGAGGAAGTGTGAATCTGGCTTGACCTTTGAAGTCCTTGTTGAAGTAGCCTGGCTGGCAGAGGTTCTAAAGAAACTTTAGGGTTCTGAATGGAAGAACCAGCAATAAGGCCTGAAGAGATGCCGGTATGAGCTAAATCCTGGGGTTTCTTTGGTACTGGCCCCGTGTGACCAGCAATAAGACTTGAAGAATGTGTAGTCTGAGTAGAATCTAGTTTTTTAGGAGTAGCCAGTGGCAGCTTACTCATGATACTTGCTAATTTTTCTTCTCTCAGTCCTGGACGAGGCTTTGTGGTTGGCATGCTTATCCTTGAGCCAACTGGCGGGCCCTTGTTTCCATTGTTGATAACCGCTAAAGCTTCAGAAACAAGATCCAGTGAAGGTGAATGGAAAGAAAGGTCTTCATCTAGTGAGTCATCGAGGCAGATGGTTTCTTGGGCTGGTACAGAGCTAGAGCTGGCTGCAGCAACGGCAGTTGTGCTGGAGCTCGTTGGAGGACCGCTAACTGGAGCCATAAGGGATGAAGGAGTTTTCTGGTCCTTTTTTGGACTACACTCCTAATGTAAAGCATCATATGGAAAAAAACAGAAATGGTTAAAAAATGACAAAGTTAATTTTAAACAAGATTCGCATGACAATTAAAATTGTTTTTCCATGGAAATCTTTAGAGACTATCAAAACAAAAATAATTTTTGAGATGACAGAGTTCCTGACTGAGCTGTCCTCACAAGACAAAGTATCTGATACATTACACCTAGCTGTCATACCTTAGTAAGCTTAAAACCAAGTGGAAGAAACATTTGTATACTAGTTACATTACTGATGGGCCTCCCTCACCTGCATCAGATCTTGAAATCCTGCTCCAAATCCATCTGTTCAGATTATTCTTTTTACTCCCCTGCACTCAGGAGAAATTCTGCCTTTACATTAAGATACTCCCCTTCTCGCCTGGGATGGTTTGCCAGGAGGCTGACCTTCACTTTCTGCTTCCATGCATTTCTGCCTCTGTCTGCCCTACCCTACAGCCAGTACACAGAAAAACTGGTACGTCAAAGTGGCAGATGACTCAATCCAAGCATATATAAATTATGCTTTCTATTTATTATGGTGAATCTGTAACTTATTTATAAATTATTCATTTCTCATGTATTCAACATATATTCACTACGTACCTGCTGTTAACAGGGCTCTATGCTAACAAGGGTATTAAGAATTAGAACTCTGAATACCTAAGGGTTGTTAAAGTCCGTTTCTCAAAGAATCAACCTTCTTAATATTTAAGAAAAAGAAATAGAGCACAGTTTATAATATTCAAAGGGCAATATAATTAAAAAGCATATATTTATTTATTTATTCCTTATTTATTTATTTTTTGAGACAGAGTTTCACTCTTACTGCCCAGGCTGGAGTGCAATGGCTCAATCTCAGCTGACTGCAATCTCCACCTCCCAGGTTCAAGCAATTCTCCTGCCTCAACCTCCCAAGTAGCTAGGATTACAGGCAAGCACCACCATGCCTGGTTAATTTTGTATTTTTTTTTTTCAGTCAAGATGGGGTTTCTCCATGTTAGTCAGGTTGGTCTCAAACTCCCAACCTCAGGTGATCTGCCCACTTTGGCCTCCCGAAGTGCTGGGATTACAGGCGTGAGCCACTGCACCTGGCCACAACTATTTATTTTTAAAGAGAAATATAAAGTGTTTGACTCATTTTATTTTTAAGATTGAAAAGCAAAAATGTATGACATAAAAGTCATATCAAGTCTCTTCAATTAGTTTCTTAAACAAACCAAACAAACCTAGAGTGTTATGTTACATACTGATTCACACAACCATAGCACTTACCTTAAACTTAGTGGGGAAAGAATGGAGAGGAAGGGTCTTTACCATCACCTCCTGAGGTATTACATAAGCAAGCTGTTAAGAATACCATGATACCCTAACTTCCTTAGTACTTTTTCTAAGTTTTTACTCTAAAACCCCTGATTAAAAACCTCATTGCCTATTGGAAGTACAAGTGTAACTGCATTAAGGTCACAAATGTCTGCTAAGAAGAATGGTTAATGCAGATGAGACATGTCTGTTTGATATGCCATCCACTTACGTGTTTAGTGAAAACTCCATCATTATAAAAAGCACAAAATAAACGGTGAGAAATGTATCCAAATGTTGGAAGTATTAATAGTATAAAATTGCTGTCTAAAAATAACTTTTTGACTATTAATTTTTATTTACAAAAATGTCAAACCCACTGTAATAGAATACTGTGTAGATTTATACTAGCAGAGAAAATTATCCAGGATACATAACTTAGTCAAAAAAGCAGGTTATCCTGTTTATATAAAAGACTAAATAAATGGATAGCTGATTAGATGGATGAATGGAAGGGAGGGAGGGAGGAACAGAGTTCCAAAAGAAGGGAAGGAAAATGTGTCCTAGAAAGCTAAGAGTTTTTATTCTCTGACTGAGGAGAAATTTATAGATACTTTTACTTTTCTCCTTACTTTTCTGTGTTATTTACATTTTCTACTGCAGGCATTTCCTTATCTTACCTTTATAACTAGAAACAGTATGGGGAGTTACAGTAGCAAAAAACCACATCAACAACATAGCTTTTCCATTTTAGGAAAAGGAAAAAGTAATTTAATCACAAAGAAGAAAACAAAAAACCTGATGACTCACCCATATCCTAACACATCCAGTATTAGAATGTATAAATTTCCTATCCAATTATTGTATCAATCATATGTTTAAACAGATGTATCAAAATGTAACCAATCCTTTATGGAGGGTATTAAGACTTTAGTATTCTAATATACAAATAAAGTGTCAAAATAAAGTCTAAACTCAACAGACTTAATGAAAGATTGGCTCAATATTATTTGGATCAGAAAACAATGCAGATTATTGAGAAAAAGAGGCTTATTGGCCAGGCACGGTGGCTCATGCCCGTAACCCCAGCACTTTGGGAGGCCGAGGCCAGCGGATCATGAGGTCAGCGGTTTCAGAACAGCTCGACCAACATGGTGAAACCCGTCTCTACTAAAAATACAAAAATTAGCTGGGGGTAGTGGCACGCCCTTGTAATCCCAGCTACTCAGGAGGCTGAGGCAGGAGAATTGCTTGAACCCGGGAGGTGGAGGTTGCAGTGAGCCGAGATCAAGCCACTGCACTCCAGCCTGGGTGACAGAGTGAGACTCCATCTTTAAAAAAAAAGATAAAGAAAAAGAGGACTATTACATTTCAAGAGGGTCTAACACCAAAAAGGCAGGAAGGCCACAGAATAATGAATACTGAGATCTGGCCACATCTTACAAGCAAAGAAACTCATCTATTAAAAACAACCACAAAAAACCAAAGAGACAAAGGCTACAGATCGAAGTGTAAAAACCAAAGGGTGTGGGCTTTCATTAAAATTTTAATTTCAAATGACTATAGTTTTTACTCCCAGAGGTTCTACTTTGATTCTCTTTCAAATCTACTTTGTCTGTTTTCATAGGATATTTTTTATTCTTTTCTAATTCTCTAAATATTAAAAAAAATTAAGCAAAATTATTTTAAGTATGGAACTCCATAAATGTACTACTTGTCCATCTTAGGACTGTTCCTTAGGGTTTTTATTGTTCCTACTGATTCTTACTCATAGTAACTTATTCTCTCATGTATTCTGTATTTCAGATTGTAAGCTCAGGTCTGATGTGGTTTATAGGAAGAAGGCCTTTGAGGCCTTTGAAGAGGGCATGTTACACCAGGGATAATTTGCTTTTTTTTTGCTAGTGGTCCTGGGTTACTACTAATGCAATAACTAAGTTACTTTTTTTAGCTTGGGGTTTTCTCAGATTGTACAGAGAGTGTAAATTAAACTCCTAAGCCAAGAAAATTTTTCAGCAAAGACATTCCAAGACAGACACTTTTCTTAGTGTCTCTGCTGGTGGCTGCATTTTTTTCTAGTTCTTTCTTTTACGAAAGACGTTATTGTTTGAAGGTCCAGCTTTATGCAGGTTTCATCCCAATTTTCAACCTGTACAAGCCCAAGGTAACTCTAACTGCTATGCTCTGAGAAGAACTGTAAAAAGAAACCGTCAAGTGATGGACACAAAGTGCCAAATGCCTCAAGGGCAACGACAATGGATTAACACTGTCAGCTCCTTCTTTGTTTTTGGTCTTAGGAATTTTTCTTACATCTTTTCAATCTCAACTATGCTATGAAAGAATACTTGTTATATTTTACCTAGCATTTCCAAGTATATTAATAAAGGTAAGCTTTACAATCAGCATATGCACATTTCCCACTGTTACACAGAAATCTATTGTCCCAAATACAGAAGTTCTAAGAGTAACACGAAGTTGAAAACACCTATCTTATAGTGCCTACTGACCTTTGCTAAATACCATATTTCCTTTTCATCTCAGGAATGTATTTCAACATTCACCAATTATAACCAATTAAAGATTTTGTTTCAAGACTTACCTTTACTTTGGGTTTAGGTGCAGGAATCACCTTTTTCTTTGCCCTAGGATAAAAGGATTTAAAAAGGCAATCTCAGTAGCAATATTACATATTGCTCATCAGAAAGTTACAACATATAACTTTGTAATTATGTGGTAAATAATTTCTTCTGCTATTTGGAAAGCTCTCTGAAGGAACTGTATTTAAAGGCTCAGTTTATACTATTTAGCAACATTTTCCTCAATTCACATTAATTCAAAGAAAGGCCAAACAACTGGTAAAATATGAAATGTTGATAAAATTTTTTTTTTTTTTTTTTTTTTTTTTTTTTTTTTTTTTTTTGAGGCGGAGTTTCACTCTTGTTACCCAGGCTGGAGTGCAATGGCGCGATCTCGGCTCACCGCAACCTCCGCCTCCTGGGTTCAGGCAATTCTCCTGCCTCAGCCTCCTGAGTGGCTGGGATTACAGGCACACGCCACCATGCCCAGCTAATTTTTTTTTTGTATTTTTAGTAGAGACGGGGTTTCACCATGTTGACCAGGATGGTCTCGATCTCTTGACCTCGTGATCCACCCGCCTCGGCCTCCCAAAGTGGATAAAATTTTTTAAAAATTAAATGTAAATTTTTAAAAAATTAAACTATGGCTCGGCGGGTCGTGCGTGCGGTCGCGGGGGTGTCACTCTGCTCCCGGCGTGCGGGCAGCGGCCGCGGCCTCTGCGCGGGAATGAGCCGGGCTCGCGGCGGAGGCCATGGCCAGTACAATGGTAGCAGTTGAACTGACCACTGCAGCTGCAGGATTTGCAGGCCGTTATGTTTTGCAAGCCATGAAGCATATGGAGCCTCAAGTAAAACAAGTTTTTCAAAGTCTACCAAAATCTGCCTTCAGTGGTGGCTATTACAGAGGTGGGTTTGAACCCAAAATGACAAAACGGGAAGCAGCATTAATACTAGGTGTAAGCCCTACTGCCAATAAAGGGAAAATAAGAGATGCTCATCGACGAATTATGCTTTTAAATCATCCTGACAAAGGAGGATCTCCTTATATAGCAGCCAAAATAAATGAAGCTAAGGATCTACTAGAAGGTCAAGCTAAAAAATGAAGTAAATGTATCATGAATTTTAAGTACATATTACTTTATGTATATGAGTATTAACTTTTTATAATAAAATGCCTTAGAGTTAGTTTTAAAAAAAATAAATAAATAAAATAAAAAAATAAAAAATAAAAAATAAAAAATTAAACTATAAAATAACCCAAAAAACTAACAAAGCTGTCTAAACAGACTCAAAAAACTGGTAAGAATTTACAATTATCTGTTAAAAAAAAAAAAAAAGCTTCAAGGAACTTCAAGCTCTAATTAAACCATGCCAAGAAGGTGTGAATGCAATTTAACTTAATCAAAACAAAACAAAAAAATCCCTGAGTTTTTAAAGAAATTATTTTGTAATGTAAATTTTTTTTTAAAAAGTCAAAATTACAGGGAGTAAAAAGGGAAAGAAAAATTATTATAAAACCTTGAAACTTTTGGAAAACTATGAAAAAGTTTGAAGAAAAAAACTAAGATTTCCAAGGTAAGTCAACGTACCCAAATGTTCATTGAATAATTAATGTGTTGACAAGCTAAAATATTTCACCTTATCTACTTCACTTGCCTAAAATGTCATCAATTAGATTCACAAGAATCCTGATGAAAACTGTCACTTTACAATTTCATTAAGGCAACAGTAATTTTCTAAGTTTTTTTTGATGAAGGCCATTTAGGCAAAGGACTGGTAGACCCACTTATCCCACAGATTCCTACTTTCTGGTACAAAACAAAACACAAAGTTAAACGAAACACAAAGTTAGCAATAATAATGAAGCTACTCAACAAAAGGAGAAGGGCCAGGAGCGCCTGTAACCCCAGCACTTTGGGAAGCTGAGGTGGGCGGATTCCTGAGCTCAGGAGTTCAAGACCAGCCTGGGCAACACAGTGAAACCCTGTCTTAAAAAAAAAAAAAAAAAAAAAAAAAAAAAAAAAAAAAACGGGAGAATGAGGCCAGGCACAGTGGTTCACGCCTGTAACCCCAGCACTTTGGGCCAAGACAGGCAGATCACTTGAGGCCAGAAATTTGAGACCAGCCTGGCCAATGTGGTCGAACCCTGTCTCTACTCAAAATATGAAAATTAGCCAGGTGTGGTGGTGTATGCCTGTAATCCCAGCTACTTGGGAGGCTGAGTAGGAGAAGTGCTTAAACCTGGGAGATAAAGGTTGCAGTGATCTGAGAAGCTGAGATCGCACCACTGAACTCCAGACTGGGCAACAGAGCCAGACTCCCTCTCAAAAAAGAAAGAGAGAGAGAGAGAGAGAGAGAGAGAGGGAGACAGAGAGAGAGAGAGAGAGAGAGAGAGAGCGAGCTCTTTTGTAAACACCTTTAGAATTAAAGGAATGCATTATTTGTACCTGAAATGTAATGCATACATGGCTTTAGAATTACAGTAGCCCCTCTTATCCACAGTTTTCAATTTCTGCAGTTTCAGTTGCCTGTGGTCAACTGATGTCTGAAAATATTAAATGGAAAATTCCAGAAATAGAGAGAAACCACATTCACATAATTTTTATTATAGCAGAGTTAAATTGTTCTCTTTTATTATTGCTGTTGTTAATCTCTTAGTGTGCCCAATTTGTAAACTAGGATCTATCATAGGAATGTATATATAAGAAATAATAGTCTATGTAGGCTTCAGTACTGTCTGTGGTTTTGGCATCCACTGGTGGCATTTTGAAGTATACTGTCTGAGGATAAGAGGGACTACTGTATAGGGAAATTAAAGCCAAAAATATTACTGACACAAATATATACATATGTATATAAAATTTATTTCAAAGACAACAAAAACACCTGCAACAAAGTAAGCCTATAATATGAAACCAAACTACTTAGAATTTATACTAAAAAAACGATAAGAACTGAAAACCACAACCAACTCAATGCATCCCTGATGATATACAGTTGACCCTTGAGGATGAAGACCTTTATGATGATTCACTCCACTTAATGAATAGTAAATATAATTTCTCTTCCTTATGATTTTCTTATTTTTCTTTCCTGTAGCTTATGTTATTATAAGAACATGGTATACAGTACATAAAACGTACAAAATGTACTCATGAACTATTTATGTTATCAGTAAGGTCAATAGTAGGCTATTAGCAGTTAAGTTTCAGGAGAGTGAAAGTCACACGTGAACTTCTGACTGTGTGTAGTGAGGGGACGAACTCCCTAACTCTTGTAATGAAGTATCCTTCCTAAAAACTAAAAAATTCCTATATAACTGCACAGAAGGAGAGGAGGAATTTTATAATGTTGCCCAAAAGATGTTAAATAGATCTCTTAGAAGAATACTGAATTACAGTGTTCAGTAAATCCTGAGTAACTTGCTAATTTTATATTTTAATAATCCCCACCCTCTCCCCTTTTTCCTTTTGGACACAAGGTCTGCTGTGTCCCCCAGGCTGGAGGGCAGTGGCATGATCTCCACTCACTAGAACCTCCGCTTTTCTGGCGTAAGCCATCCTCCCACCTCAGCCTCCTGAGTAGCTGGGACTACAGGCACACACCAGCATGTGTGGCTAATTTTTTACTTTTTGTAGAGGTGGAGTTTCACCATGTTGCCCAGGCTAGTCTCAAACTCCTGGACTCACGCAATCCACCCACCTCAGCCTCCCAAAGTGCTGGGGTAACAGGCATGAGCCACTGTGCTGGCTTTAACACAAGGGTTATTAAATGCCACACTTGTAGGCTATAGAGAAGTAGCCCTAAGTTGTAGGGAAAAATAAAACTGTTCTGGAATTAACCAATATTCAACCAAAAAGGTTGAATTATTATTATTATTTTTTTTTGGAGACGGAGTTTCGCTCTTGTTACCCAGGCTGGAGTGCAATGGCGCGATCTCGGCTCACCGCAACCTCCGCCTCCTGGGTTCAGGCAATTCTCCTGCCTCAGCCTCCTGAGTAGCTGGGATTACAGGCACGCGCCACCACGCCCAGCTAATTTTTTGTATTTTTAGTAGAGACGGGGTTTCACCATGTTGACCAGGATGGTCTCGATCTCTTGACCTCGTGATCCGCCCGCCTCGGCCTCCCAAAGTGCTGGGATTACAGGCTTGAGCCACCGCGCCCGGCCTGAATTATTTTTATAGCAGTTAATAACATAATAATAACAGAAAAAACTTGTTTTGTTATATATGGGGGGATAAAATATCTTTCTCCAGTAATCACATCACTAAGGAAATAGCCAGTTTTGAACACAAGGAAAGACCTGAAGAGTAGGTTAATTTTGCAAAATAAAACACTGCAGTGCAACAAGGGTGGATGAGCATATGGATCTGTGCTAGTAAGCTCAGGGCAGCAGGGGGCTGTAGACGACAAACGCAGATGAACATTAAGAGGTAGAGAAAAAGACTGGCAGGTAGAAGGCCCAGGAACAAAGGAAAACTTCTGAACCTTCCTGCTTCCCTACTACCAGAATCCCAGGCCATTATGTGTCCCAGTATGGATTTAGTAGGTAGGAACTCTCATATGGCTTCCCAAGCAAGCGGTTGCTTCCTTATACTAGGGAAGAAAGAGATCAATTTGTGTTCTGAAATCTAAACAGTCAATGGTCAAAATGATCTTTTTGAGTCCTATTCCAACTAGCATTTAATAAATGATATTTTTGTTTACTAAAATGCATAATGCGAATAAATGAAGCAATCTGGAGACTGCGTTTACTCACGGAGCAGAAGTAAGATGATTATGAACACTCCGGCTTTCCTTAAAAAGCATTCTGGAAAAATTTAAAGAACACAATTATTTTTTTTTATAGCAGATAGTATGATAATTGTTTTATTTTTTTAAAGTAACTTAATTTTCAATCAACTATTACTTGCTTATTTACCAAGTAAAAGTTATAATGGTACAGTATACTTAATAATCTATTTTATGGAGAGTTTTGTTCACAGCTCACTGTAACCTAGGCCTCCTGGGCTCAAACGGTCCTCCCACCTCAGCCTTCAAAGAAGCTGGAATTACGGGTGTGTGCCACCATGTCCAGCTAATTCTTAAAACTTTTTGCAGAGACAAAGGTCTCACTGTGTTGGCCAAGCTGGTCTTGAACCCCTGGCCTCAAGCAATCCTCTCATCACAGCCCTGAGCTTCCTGAAGTGCTGAGATTACAGGGGTGAGCTACCATACCTGGCCAACAGATCTTTTTGTTGATATAAGATGGAGCACTTTAAGATCATGGGTTGAACTACTCAAGTTTATTAATTTTTACACTCTTTAACTCTTCTTTTTTTTTTTTTTCTTTGAGACAAAGTTTTGCTCTTGTTCCCCAGGCTGGAGTTCAATGACGCAATCTTGGCTCATTGTAACTTCTGTCTCCTGGGTTCAAGTGATTCTCCTGCCTCACTCTACTGAGTAGCTGGAATTACAGGTACCCAAGACCACACCCAGCTAATTTTTATATTTTTAGTAGATACACGATTTTACCATGTTAGCCAAGGTGGTCTCAAACGCCTGACCTCAGATGATCCACCTGCTTTGACCTCTCAAAGTGCTGTGATTACAGGTGTGAGCTACCGCAAGCGGCCACATTCTTTACTTAACTCTTGAAACTTCAAATAGAGCAACTCTTATTTTCTTAAAGTATCTCTCTACACTGAATATTTTCTTACTTATTTATTTACTTGTTGAGACAGGTCTCACTATGTTGCCCAGGCTGGTCTTAAACTCCTGGGCTCAAGTGATCCTCCCACCTTGGCTTTCCAAAGTGCTGGGATTACAGGTGTGAGCCACTGCACCCGGCCTACACTGACTATTTTCAATAGAACCTAAGGCTGTGTCTCTTTTCCTATGCTCTAATCCCATATTCTGTTCCCTATATTCATGTTACCCAAATGAAGCTCTTCTCCCAAACTTCATAACCATTTGGGAGTCTTCCCTCTTCCCTTTTTCTCTATCAGCAAATTTGGGTATAAAAAAAAAATGTTAAGTAAAATATCACCTTTACACCTATCTCTGTGTCTGCATGACTATTTTATCATTTAAGTGCTTAAGGTTTTCAAAGCAAGGATCATCTGACTGAGATGACTATACAGTATGCTGAATAAGTTAGGTTCTCAGAAGAATCAGTGTCACATATATGTATGTGTATCTTTAATGACAGCAAAAATAATAAAATAAAATCCAGTAAGTCGCATGTCTTACCTTGCCTGCATCCAGCCCTTAGGCCACAGGGGCTTCACCTCTGTCTCCATAAAAGACTTAAGATAATCTTCAGCAGACTGGCTTTTATTTGGCTCTAACTCATAGCATCCCAGTTTGATCTCAACAAGGTTACATAACAAAGTTCTAAGCAGATTGAAAATTAAATTTGAAACTTTTTTTAGAAGCACATAAATTTGGCAGCAATCATAAAGACTATGTGAAAAATTCAGAAAATAATAATTTCTAACATGTATCATTCACTGAACTACAGTAAAACCCCTAATATGAAACAATTTCCTTTGACACCTTTAATCAAAGCACCAAAGATCGAAAGGGATGGTTCTCTACTTGGGGTACAGAAATACTACTAAAAAAGATGGCCAAAGAAGAATTACGTTGAGAGCACTTCACCTTCTGAAACCAGTATGACTCCATTATTAGATTAGTTTATAAAAAGTATTAGAGTACATACGAAAATAAAAGCAATACTACTCTAAAGACATGGGAGACTAATTACTTTTCTCTTTAATAATTTTTCCCTACATATTTATCTTTGGTTGCTTCCAATCCAGTTTTACATTTATTATAGATTTTTTTAAAAAATGAAAAACCTTCCTTCTGCATTATATATTAAAAACAAAAACTAATTAAATCTTACCTGATGGTGTCATCCCAGTGGAATTTCTTTCTTGGTCCTATGACACGTTTCCCTGGTTTCTCATCATCATCTTCTTCAGATCCATTTTTTTCTCGTTCTTCATCTGTCTGCAATCTAAAAATGAAAAAACACTTTATAAAACAAACTTTTAACCCAACACAACTATGTAATATGCTTCATAAACACTTGTTGAATTGCTTAATTGAATATTAAAAGAGAGGGTAAAGAGGAAATCTACCTTTCCACATAATACTGAATTTGAAGAGAGTTATAGTTTGCTAAATAAGGTCTTCAAATTACAATGTAAAGACACAATTATAATTTGAAGACCTTATTTAGCAACTATTTTATAAATTTTAGGTCAGAAAAGATTTGCATCCAACTACAGCAAGTCAAGTTCGGGTGGTAAAATGTCTCACCAATGTCAGCTCTTGCTTTGATCACCCCCATACAATCAGTCAACAGACACCTTTTGCCTCTGACTCCAAAGCAACTGTCATTTACAAACTACTCATAATTATGTTAGTGGTATACGTGAATTTCAACATGAGAATGAGGTCCACATAACATCAGAACAGCTAAAAGTACTTCTCAAATGCATGGCTGGGCATGGTGGCTCACGCCTGTAATCCCAGCACTTCGGGAGGCTGAAGGGGGTGGATCACCTGAGGTCAAGAGTTTGAGACCAGCCTGGCCAATGTGGTGAAACCCCATCTCTACTAAAAATATAAAAATTAGCTGGATGTGGTGGCAGGTGCCTGTAATCTCAGCTACTTTTGAGGCTGAGGTAGAAGAACCCGGGAGGCGGAGGTTGCAGTGAACTGAGATTGCACCACTGCACTCCAGCCTGGGCAACAGAGTGAGACTCCACATCAAAACAAATAAATAAATAAAAATAAATAAATAAAAGTACTTCTCAAATGCAAAAGCCAGTCCAAATAGAATAGATACATACTTGGCACACTTAGCTTGACTACGAGCCTGGCAGTCCTCCTGGTATTTAAATAGCTGTTCAGGCATGACATTGCTAACAGCCAGTTTCAGTTTTTGCAGAGGTTCTCGTAAACGATCATCCTGAAAAGCGTATAAAAGTTTTTATCAGACATATTTACAAAATTTTGTGAGGTCCTTGAAAGATGAAATTTATGTTTTAGATAGCAATTATAGATTTGAAGTATTAGCACACCTAAATATGCACATTTCTTCTACAGCACTGACTTTTCGTAATACACACTGGATACAAAATTAGAATGACATTTCCCAGTTAGTCAAGAAGAGTCCCAGTTTTTGCCTATTGTCCAGCATTATTATTATTATTATTATTATTTTTTTTTTTTTTTGAGACGGAGTTTTGCTCTTGTTACCCAGGCTGGAGTGCAATGGCGCGATCTCAGCTCACCGCAACCTCCGCCTCCAGGGTTCAGGCAATTCTCCTGCCTCAGCCTCCTGAGTAGCTGGGATCACAGGCACGTGCCACCGTGCCCAGCTAATTTTTTGTATTTTTAGTAGAGACATGGTTTCACCATGTTGACCAGGATGGTCTCGATCTCTTGACCTCGTGATCCACCCGCCTCGGCCTCCCGAAGCGCTGGGATTACAGGCTTGAGCCACCGCGCCTGGTCCCCAGCATAATTATTAATTAGTGTTCCTTTACACTCTTTAAAATGCCCCATGGACACTTTAATACAGACAATTAAATAGAAAACAAAATCTACATTGTACAGACTACCACTAGTTAATCTCCATTATGATGGGAAACCAGTACCCTAAGAAGACACAATGCTCTGGAACACGAACACATGTGTTTGGTTTGGGTGACTACCAACCGGATGTTGGAATCCTGTTCTCTCAGTTATGGTTAATCATTTTGACTTACGCTGCAGGTAATGCAAGGTCAAGGCCAAAGTAAAAGAGGAACCTGAAAACTGTTAATCATGTGTATTTTCAAGGCCAAAAGGAAAGAAAGTAAGTTTGTACCTGACAGTTTTAATTAACTAATTTATTACTTTTGCCTTGCTAGCAACCGTATATATATGTAACTACTTGAAACATACTTTTATCACCATCATAGGTGATGAAATATTATAAGACTTTACTTTTCTTCACTGAAACAATTTTTTTTTTGGAGACAGCCTCGCTCTGTCACCCAGGCAGGAGTGCAGTAGAACCATCTTGGCTCACTGGAACCTCCACCTTCTGGATTCAAACAATTATTGTGCCTCAGCCACCCAAGTAGCTAGGACCACAGGTGCATGCCATCACACCCAACTAATTTATTTATATATATATACATATCTTTTTTTCTTTTTGAGACGGAGTTTTGCTCTTGTTACCCAGGCTGGAGTGCAATGGTGCAATCTTAGCTCACCGCAACCTCCATCTCCTGGGTTCAAGCAATTCTCCTGCCTCAGCCTCCCGAGTAGCTGGGACTACAGGCGTGCACCACCATGCCCAGCTAATTTTTGTATTTTTAGTAGAGACGGGGTTTCACCATGTTGACCAAGATGGTCTCGATCTCTTGACCTCGTGATCCACCCGTCTCGGCCTCCCAAAGTGCTGGGATTACAGGTGTGAGCCACCGCGCCCGGCCTAATTTTTATATATACACACACACATATATATATATATATATATATATATTTTTTTTTTTTTTTGAGACAGAGTGTCGCTCTTGTTACCCAGGCTGGAGTGCAATGGCGCGATCTCGGCTCACCACAACCTCCGCCTCCTGGGTTCAAGCAATTCTCCTGCCTCAGCCTCCTGAGTAGCTGGGACTACAGGAACGCGCCACCATGCCCAGCTAATTTTTTGTATTTTTAGTAGAGACGGGGTTTCACCACGTTGACCAGGATGGTCTCAATCTCTCGACCTCGTGATCCACCCGCCTCGGCCTCCCAAAGTGCTGGGATTACAGGCTTGAGCCACCGCGCCCGGCCTAATTTTTATATTTTTAATAGAGACAGGGTTTTGCCATGTTGGTCAGGCTGGTCTTGAACTCCTGGCCTCAAGTGATCCACCTGCCACAGCCTCCCCAAGTGCTAGGATTACAGGCACGAACCACCCAGCCAAAACAACTGTTCTTTAAATGTGATTTTTGGTGAAGAAAAGATTTTTAGCCAGGCACGGAGGCTCACGCCTATAATCCCAGTACTTTGGGAGGCTGAGGTGGGCAGATCATGAGGTCGGGAGTTTGAGACCAGCCTGACCAACGTGGTGAAACTCTGTCTCTGCTAAAAATACAAAAATTAGCTGGGCATGGTGGCACATGCCTGTAATCTCAGCTACTCAGGAGGCTGAGGGAGGAGAACTGCTTGAACCCGGGAGGTGGAGGTTGCACTGAGCCAAGATTGCACCACTGCACTCCAGACTGCGCGACAAAGACTCCATCTCAAAAAAAAAAAATATATATATATATATATATTTTTTAAACACAAATATTACAAATAAGCATATTAACCTATTCCATGAACACCAGTAAGTAAATATTATAGCACATATGACATAAAATCCTATGTTTAAAATGTGAACATCCAGTCGGGTGCAGTGGCTCATGCCTATAATCCCAGCATTTTGGGAGGCCACCGTGGGCTGATCACCTGAGGTCAGGAGTTTGAGACCAACCTGACCAACATGGAGAAACGTCGTCTATACTAAAATACAAAATTAGCCAGACGTGATGGTGCATGCCTGTAATCCTAGCTACTTGGGAAGCTGAGGCAGGACAATTGCTTGAACTAGGGGGACAGAGGCTGTGGTGAGCTAAGATAGTACCATTGCACTCCACCCTGGGCAACCAGAGCCAAACTCTGTCCCCTCCCCGCAAAAAAGTAAACATCCAGAATCCTGGTTCCTAGATGATTACTTTTAAAGAATTATGTAGCTTATTAGACTATCTGCCTGGAAACAACCCAAATATCCACAAATAGTAAAATAAAATGGACAAATTAATGGGGATATATTCACACAATGGAACACTGTATACACAGCAGTAAAAATGAATATATTTCTGACCAGGCACAGTGGCTCATGTTGTAATCCTAGCACTTTGTAAGGCCAAGGTGGGCAGACCACCTGAGGTCAAAGGTTAAAGACCAGCCTGGCCAACATGGTGCAACACTGTCTCTGCTGAAATACAAAAATTCATTGGGCATGATTGTAGGTGCCTGTAAACCCAGCTGCTTGGGAGGCTGAGATGGGAGAATTGCTTGATCCTGGGAGACAGTGGTCATAGTGAGCCAAGATCTCACCACTGCACTCTAGCCTGGGTGCTAAGAGCGAGACTCAGTCTCAAAAAAAAAAAGAATGTATTTCTACTACATGTACACATAAGATAAATCTGAGGTGCACAATATTGAGCCTTAAAAGCTGCAAACATATATTTATATATATGAAGCTCATAAATATGCAAAATTAAATATAATGTTTAGGGATACAAATATATGTGATAAAACCATATAAAGAAGAGCAAGGATAAGACATCTTTCTTCCATAGCCAAAGGGATGTTAAGTAACTTCAAACTTGCCAGGGGTTCAAGATCAGCCTGGGCAACATAGCAGGAACTTGTCTCTACAGACAAAAAATTTAAAAATGGCATGCATGGTGATGTCAGCCTGTAGTCCCAGCTAGTTGGGAGGCTGAGGTGGGAGGATGCTTGAGCCCAGGAGGTTGAGGCTGCAGTGAGAGCCATGTTTACACCACTGCACTCTGGCCTGGGCAAGAACAAGACCCTATATCAAAAGAGAGAAAAAAAAAAAAAAAAAGGTGAGTACCTATATTTAAAAAAAACTGTTTATCAGATCATACCTACTGTATTAATTTACATCCAACGATCTATGCTTTAGAAAACATTTTTCCTCTGAACTTATCAATTGTTGAAGACCAATTATTTTTCAGGGGATCTAACATACTTTTAATAACCTCCTATTATTATTAAATACATACAATATGACTATAAATCAATTAATGTGCAAAGGCCCCAAATAGAAACAAGTATCTTTACAGGTTATGAAACTCAAGATGCAGATATTATTGCTCTTCCTCTTACCTGGACATTGAGATGTAACTTCTTCAGACGTTTTACTAGTGTTTCTTTATTGCATGGCACAAAAGCTTCAAGGTGGGAGTAGACACCACTGCGAATGACAGGGCCTAGTTCTTGTAGCTGTAACTCAATGCTGGCCAAAAAAATTAACAACAATGAACAGTACAGAATTTATTTTAGGTGGCATCATACCGACAAGAAGGCAAAGGCAGTTCTTGTTCTCATTTTATCTTTCCATGATTTCCTAAACAGTATTCTTTACAGGGGAAAACAAAACAAAACAAAACAAAACAACCCATAGCAATAGTTTATTAGTTTATTTATTTATTTATTTTGAGATGGATTTTCATTCTTGTAGCCCAGGTTGCAGTGCAAAAGCATAGTCTCGGGTCACTGCCAACCTCTGCCCCCTGGGGTTCAAGTGATTCTCCTGCCTCAGCCTCCCAGGTAGCCAGAGTTATAGGTGCCTGCCACAATGCCTGGCTAATTTTTTTGGAGTTTCAGTAGATATAGGGTTTCACTATGTTGGCCAGACTGGTCTCAAACTCCTGACCTCAGGTGATCTTGGCCTCCCAAAGAGCTGGGAATACAGGTGTGAGCCACTGTGCCCAGCTCCATACCAAAAAATAGTAATGCTATAGAAAATATTCTGTCAGTCTAGTTTAACAGTAGAACTTCTATAACCATGAACAAGCTGGAAATATTTTTGGGGTGACAGGGGAAAACTCTTATGTTTTCAGGTAAAGCACAATAAATCTGTAATTAACCAAAAGCTCCCTTCCTCCAAGACATAGTATACTACCCCTCGGCCCACTGGCAATTGCCTGGCAGGTCAAGACTGCAGTGAGCCATGATCACATCACTACTCCAGTCTGGGCAACAGAGTGACACCCTGTGTCAAAAAAAGAAAAAAGAAGAAAATTTATGAGCAATGTCTGTTTTAGGCAGTAGGCAAGGAAATCAAGGCAGCAGGTCAAATTCAATCAGGCAAAAAAAAAAGCTTGTGTGTGGGGGGTCCCAATTCCAACAAATTGATGTATTTCTTCCCTAGTATAAGAAAGCAATGGCTTCCTTGGGAAGCCATATGGGAGTTCCTACTCTAAATAATCATGTTCCATATTCTCTTAGAAGGGCAACTCAATACAGAAAATGAGACATGTTTGTTTAGGGAAGTAAAAAAAGAGGCTGAGGGAATAAGAAATTGACTAAAAGGAAAAAACTGAACTCAGAACACTAGCGCTTATGAAACTGGAGGCGTATCCTTTGTAAAATAAAAGTAGATGGGCTCCAAAAAATAAGAAGATTCGCTTTAAGACAGACATGAGAGGAATAAATAGGGAAGCCAGTTAATGGAATAGTGATATTCTGCTTATCTGAGATGATATGTCCCAAGGATGGTCTTTTGACTCTCCTGGGGAAGAAATAGTTGTTCCCTTTCACAGAAGAGTAAAATAAAAAACAACAGACTCAGTCACAAGAGAAGGACCTGATCACACTTTGGATTCTCAGGTGGAAAGAAAAAGAAAAGTTGGTCAGATCCCTGACTAAGGAATCTGGGACAACTGTAACAAGTAATGGCTGCACTGTTCATTGAGTCCAGGGTTTTAAAGGGAGCTAGGTAAAAGGAGGTGGTGTAGACAGGAAGCACTTGCCTGGCTGCCAGGCAGAAAGACTCCACCTGAAAATTCCTGGTTAAAATAACGAAGAACAGAAATGAGAAACTCTGCCACCATACTAGCAGCAGACTAAGTTATATGTTTTCTGAGTCTATAATAAGAGACTGTAATACATTACAAGCATTATCAGAAGCAGTTAATCAGCCCTTCTTCACATCTCATGAGAAACTATCTCCATTAAGTATTTAAAAGATGGGAATCATAGTATTATAAATACTACTTTCCTTTTCCCTTTCTCTTTCTCTCTCTTTTTTTTTTTTTTGGAGACAAGGTCTCACTCTATCACCCAGGCTGGGGTGCAGTGCCGTGAACACAGCTCATTACAGCCTCAATCTCCCGGGCTTAATGTCCTCCTAACTCAGCCCCCCGAGTAGCTGGGATGACAGGTGTGCACCACCAAACCTGGCCAATTTTTCTTTATATTTTATAGGGATGGAGTTTCACTATGGTCCCCAGGCTGGTCTCAAATTTCTCAGCTCAACTGATCCTCCCCCATCTAGGCCTCCCCAGAGTGTTGGGATTACAGGTATGAGCCACCATGCCTGGCCTTGCCTATGTCTTTATGTAATATATGATGCTACTAAACCACCAAGAATAAGCATACATTATTTTCACCAGAGAGGGCTAAAATTTGCTATTTTCCCCATGCTTGCTTTTTTGCCCAGTTCTGCATCCAATTATATACCTGATTCCCGTAAACAATAGTTAAGATCTAAGTCAAAGACAAGGTTTACAAGTTCATCTTATTTGACCACAATCTTAGGACCTACAGCTTCGTTAGTATCAAACTCTGAGTACAAAATTATTGCTAAGTTAAATACAAAATTTGCTAATTTAAATACAATCTATACTATATATCCACCGTCACCTTCTTATTCTAACTGATGTCTCCTCATAATTTCTTTATAAAACTGTACTTTCCATTTGACTATAAAAGTTTGTACAAATTATAAATAACCTCACTAGATATCAATGGAATTGCTGTTCTCAAGTGTAAGTAATAAAAGTAGATGGAAAATCATGCCAAATCTGTATATAAATGCTCTAACATTTCCCAGAAAGACACTTTCATATAAGATTATATGAAGTATATACTTAAGTCTAGCTTAATATCCAACTTGTATAGTGGTCACTTGCTCTGGCAGTTATTACTGGAAGCTTTGATTATCCTAAGTGGTCCAGGAAAACAAAATATGCAGAAGCATAATTTTGCTGAGAAATAAATGTGAATCATACATGCTGTAGGGCTTAAAGGGAAGAACTAATGCCTGGGACTTACCAGCCCCTCAGCATCTCAAAGGCCTATTACATTTTTGAATGAATTGTTCTTTCTCTTTTTTTTTTTTTTTTTTTGAGATGAAGTCTTGCTCTGTTGCCAGACTGTTGTGCAGTGGTGTGATCTTGGCTAACTGGGGTTCAAGCAATTATCCTGCCTCAACCTCCTGAGTAGCTGGTACTACAGGCGTGCACCACCATGCCCAGCTAATTTTTTGTGTTTTTAGTAGAGACGAGGTTTCATCATGTTGGCCAGGATGATCCTGATCTCTTTACTTCATGATCCACCTGCCTCAGCCTCCCAAAGTGCTGGGATTATAGGCATGAGCCACCGTGCCTAGCTGAATGAATCATTCTTAAGGTTTTTTTGTTTTGTTTTTAAGAAAATTACTTACTCCAGAAGAATATTATTCATATCCTGTGTAAAGAATTTTTTCCTTCCTTCTTCATCAAAAAGTTTGGCAGCCTAGAGAAACATAAGAAAGACAATCATAACTCAAAATAGGTCATTACTCTATTTTTTTTCTGTTTTTTATTCTTAGAACATATGTTCAATGATTTTTTTTTTTCTGAGATAGGGCCTCACTATGTTGCCCAGGCTGGTATCAGACTTCTGGGCCCAAGCAATACTCCCACATTACAGCCTTCCAAGTAGCTGGGATTATAGGTATGTGCCACTGTGCCCTGCTGCAATAAATAATTAATTTGAGATAAATATCTATAATAAACTTCATTAGGAAAATTTTTTAAAAAGAGAGATAAATATCTAATGGAAGAATAAAAGAAGCTCCTATCAGTAGAACACCAAATGAGTTGTGATCAACAGGCAAAGGCACTTGAGAGATTCAAATTCAGCTGGGTATTGTGTAAGTTTCCTACAGCTATTATAACGAACTATCACAAACATAGTGGCTTGAAACAAGACAAATGTATCCATCCTCAGTCACAAGTCCAAAGTCAGTATCATGGGCTGAAATCAAGGTGTCAGTGGGGCCATGGTCCTTCCAGAGGCTCTGGGGAAGACCTAGTTCCTTGCCTCTTTCACCTTCTGGTGTCTGCCAGCATTTTTTGATCACAGCTGCAGCACTACAACCTCCAAGGCCACCATCTTCAAATCTCTCTAGGCTCTCCCTTCACATTTCCTCTGTGTGTTTAACACCTCTTTCTGCCTCCCCCTCTTGTAAGCAAACAAATGATTGCATTTATGGGCCACAGGCTAATCTAGGATAATAACCCCATCTCTTCTGCCATACAAAATAACATTCACAGATTCCAAGGATTAGAATACAGATATCTTTTTTAAGACCTAACATAGATTTTTTTTTTTTCTCTTTTTTGAGACGGAGTTTCGCTCTTGTTACCCAGGCTGGAGTGCAATGGCGTGATCTCGGCTCACTGCAACCTCTGCCTCCTGGGTTCAAGCAATTCTCCTGCCTCAGCCTCCCAAGTAGATGGGATTAAAGGCATGCGCCACCATGCCCAGCTAATTTTTGTGTTTTTAGTAGAGACGGGGTTTCACCATGTTGACCAGGATGGTCTCGATCTCTTGACCTTGTGATCCACCCTCCTCGGCCTCCCAAAGTGCTGGGATTATAGACGTGAGCCACCACGCCTGACCTAACATAAACATTTAAAAAATCTGTAAAAGTTGTGATCCTAAGAATATGAAAAAAAACACAAAGATAAATTCCAATTAAGGTTAAGAGTCTTCAGAACTAAACAGAAAAGATATTTCAAAATAGTATAGGTCACAGTAGGGTAGCTATAGTTAACAATAATTGATTGCATATTTAAAATAGCTAGAATAATTCAAATGTTCCTAGCATAAAGATAAATATTGAAGGTGATATCCCAATTACCATGATTTGATCATATGAATGTATCAAATTATGACATGTACCCTGAAAATATGTACATCTTAAATGTATCAAAAAATAGTGTAGGCTGGGCACAGTGGCTCATGCCTGTAATTTCAGCACTTTGGGAGGCCAAGGTGGGCACTTTGGGAGGCCAAGGTGGGCAGATCACGCAGTCAAGAGATCGAGACCAACCTGGCCAACATGGTGAAACCTTGTCTCTACTAAAAATACAAAAATTAGCTGGGTGTGGCAGCATGTGCCTGTAGTCCCAAATCACTTGAACCCAGGAGGCAGAGGTTGCAGTGAGCCAAGATCATGCCACTGCACTCCAGCCTGGTGACACAGCAAGACCTTTTTTTTTTTTTTTTTAATCTACAGTATTATTACTATGTTGAAATTGCAGACTTATTACTGAAGTTGCAGACTACATTTAAGTTGTAGACTTCCATGAGCAGACAGAAGAATCTGGTACCATATCTAACTCGATTCCAAGAAGACAGACTCTATGACTCTGTCCTTAAGGAGTCACTGAGATTATAATTATTAATAGAGTTAACTGCATTCCATGAGGATTGCTGATCAGAATAGGCAACGCTCCAGCTGAAATGTGTGGCTGGAGGCAACACGCTATATATTGAGGAAAAAAACCCTTAGACATAGTGAATAACAACAAAAACTGAGTAGAACTGGTAATCTCTAAGAGGAAGAAAAAAAGTCAATCGATGGTACAACTGTTGAAATAAAGGATTTTTTTTTTTTTTTTTTTTTTTGAGACAGAGTCTCACTCTGTTGCCCAGGATGGAATGCAGTGGTACAATCTTGGCTCACTGCAACCTCTGCCTCCCAGAGCCAAGCAATTGTCTGCCTCAGCCTCCTGAGCAGCTGGGATTACAGGCACCTGCCACCACACCCAGCTAATTTTTTTATTTTTAGTACAGATGGGGTTTCACCATCTTGGCCAGGCTGGTCTTGAACTCCTGACCTTGTGACCTAACCACTTCAGACTCCCAAAGTGCTGGAATTACAGGCATGAGCCATTGCATCCAGCCAAAATAAAGGATTTTTTAAAAGGTCATTAACTGATGATTTGGTGAAGGTAAAAACAGTATTTTTTAAAAAGTAATATGAATAATAAATTAGTACTGCCAATTTATAGATTCAATCATCATTATCACAGGTCATAAAGGGTATCAAAATGAAAATTAAGTTATAAGCTCTTCATGATGCATATAGTAGTTACAAAAAGCCTAATGTGAATAAAAAATAGATTTCCTGGCCAGGCGCAGCGGCTCACACCTATAATCCCAGCACCTTGGGAGGCTGAGGCGGGAGGATCACAAGGTCAGGAGTTTGAGACCAGCCTGACCAATATGGTGAAACCCCATCTATACTAAAAATACAAAAAAAATTAGCCGGGTGTAGTGGCATGCGGCATGCGCCTGTAGTCCCAGCTACTCTGGAGGCTGAGGCAGAAGAATCACTGAACCCAGGTGGTGGAGGTTGCAGTGAGCTGAAATTGCACCACTGCACTCCAGCCTGGGTGACAGAGCGAGACCCTATCTCAAAAAAATAAAAAAAAAAGATTTCTAGGCTTGTACCAAACTTTAAAATAAAAAAAAAAAATTCCTTTGAGTAAAAACACCTATAAGAATTTCTGATGAAAATTTAAACTTTATAACCTTAAAACTTTTTATATGATCTATATTAGATTTAAGCAGTGGAAGGATGTTACAAAGTAAAAAAGCAAGACAAAAGTGATATCAGACATGAGCATTTTAGCTGAAGATAAAATATCACCACCTGAAGAAAATGCACCATCTCAATTTCAAAGAAAATACAGAGATTCACAGGTATCAGTAAGTGAAATTAACCCTATTACTTTTATTTTTTAAAATACCTAATTAAGTGGGGTTTTTTTTGGAGACAGAATCTCACCATGTTGCCCAGGAAGGGCTCAAACTCCTGGACTCAAAGCAATCCTCCTGCCTTGGCCTCCTCAAAGTGCTGGGATTATAGATGTGAGCCACTGTGCCCAGCCTGAATCTTATTATTGATAATTTCCCACTACCGGGTTGGGAAGAAGCTGTATTAATCCTGGCATGACTACTACAGAGATAGACATTATTTGACATGAGCTATAAGAGAGACTTACAAGACTGAAACACACTCATCACTAACCAACTTTGTTTAAGTGAGCATGAGGCCTGGTACAGTGGCTCACACCTGTAATCCCAACACTTTGGGAGGCCGAGATGGGTGGATCACCTGAAGTCAGGAGTTTGAGAGCAGCTTGACCAACCTGGTAAAACCCCGTCTCTACTGAAAATACAAAAATTAGCTGTTGTTGTGGTGAGTACCTGTAATCCCAGCTACTTGGGAGACTGAGGCAGGAGACTGCTTGAACCCGGGAGATGGAGGTTGTGGTAAGCCAAGATTATGCCACTACACTCGAGCCTGGGCCACAAAGGGAGACTCCATCGAAAAACAAAACAAAACAAAAAAATCCTGACCTTGAATCCTGGCTCGGCCACTTAAAAATTATGTGGCCTTGGGCAAGTTACTTAATGTTCTTGAACCTTATTTTCCTCATAAATTAAACGGGAGAAACACTCCCTGAGCCACATTACTGTTGAGAGGATTATACAACGCAGTATGTAAAACATATGAAACCCACTCAGGGTTACTGTCTCCTGAGAAGTAAATGTGGCCTTGTAGGACATAGCTGCACCGCAACCAATACACAGGGTTCTTGCTAAATAAACAATAGCTATTATTAATAATTACACCTTGAAAAACCTGAATTACATCACTAGCACTTTTTAAAAACCTAAAAGAAACTAAGATTGTAGAGATAGGGCCACATAGGATAACAAAAAGCCTATGCCACTTATTTTGGAGTCAGGTGAATCCTGGCATTTAATAATAAAAGAATCAATTGTATTGATGTTATCACTATAGTTATTTCTATTTATTTATTTTTATTTTATTTTATGTTATTTTTTTGAGACAGAGTTTCGCTCTGTCACCCAGACTGCAATGCAGTGGCATGATCTCAGCTCACTGCAACCTCTGCCTCCCGGGTTCAAGTGATTCTCCTGCCTCACCGTCCTGAACAGCTGGGATTACAGGCATGTGCCACTATGCCTGCCTAATTTTTTTTTGTATTTTTAGTAGAGACAGAGTTTCACTGTATTGACCAGGCTATTCTCAAACTCTTGACCTCAGGTGGTTCACCCACCTTGTCCTCCCCCAAGTGCTGAGATTACATGCATGTACCACCATACCCAGCCAGTTATTTTCTACTAAAAAGAAACGTCTAGGCTGGGGCATGGTGGCTCACGCCTGTAATTCCAGCACTTTGGGAGGCTGAGGTGGGCAGATCATCTGAGGTCAGGAGTTCAAGACCAGCATAGCCAACGTACCAAAAAGCCCATTTCTACTAAACAAAAATTAGCTGGGTGAGGTGGTACGCACCTGTAATCCCAGCTACTTGGGAGGCTGAGGCAGGAGAATCGCTCAAACCCAGGAGGCAGAGGTTGCAGTGAGCCACGCACACCACTGCACTCCAGCCTGGGAGACAGAGCAGGACTTTCTCTCAAAAAAAAAAAAAAAAAAAGAAAAGGTCTAAAAGGAAACATGGAAAATAAAAAGTTATAAGTTATAAAAATGTTGGGATTGTAGGTTATTATTTTTATCTTTAATAAAACCAAAGCAATTATATCAGTGTTATGTGGAAAATACAAACAAACAAAAGCATTAATTCTCATGTTTGTGCAGCAAATAAAAAACAAGAGGATTATTACACTTACTACACGGAGGTCTTCGATACGTTTTTCAAGAAGTAAAGGTAGACCCTCTGGGAGTGTAGGTACCACTTTGGGCATAACCTGAGAAGTATAGGTTGGCTGGGTGGTGGTTCCATTTTCACCCCCTGACTCAGACAGGGGGCTACCATCAGAAGCAGCATCCAGTAATCTGTCGAAGTCGAAATCATCTAGCATCTCTAGGGCATTTTCAGCTTCCTGAAACAGCTCATGTTCATTTGTGCTAACAAAAATGGGAAGGTCTGGATCAGCGCTGCTCAGATTTAAGTCCGGGACATCATTCCCCAGTGCTGCAGGGGCACAAGGGGGTTTATTCAGAGAGGAAGTTGACAAGGTCACTGGGACTTTGGGGCTAGACTCCTTCTTTAACGCATCCTTCTCTTTCTGGAATTTTCTAATCATGGCAGCTAGAGAAAGAGAATCTTTATAACGTTTCTTCTTTTTTTCACACTTGTGTGAATTTAGAGCCACAACTCTGTGAAGAAAAAAATGATCCAGCTATGTGTGATTTTAAAGGTTAAAGTGTCATATAACTAAGTAGGCACAGAATTAAAGTAATCATTTGACAGGTAACACAGCAGTTTTCTTAATTTCTTATTAATTTATCCTATTATAATATCATCTTCTTCCCTTGAAAGGCAAATAGGTAAATGGCCATTATGGTGAAAAAAATGAGGAAACAACTCAGTTTAGCTATTACTTCCTCCTAGAAATCTTACCTAAATCCTGTGGCTTAAATGCTTCCAAATGTGCACTACAGAACCTAAAAGGTTATTAGCATCTTGAAGGCAGACCCATGTTTCAGTTACTGTTATACAACCCAAACCCTACATCAAGTGCCTGCGATACAGCAGGGTACTAATATTTGCTGAATAAATGATATAAGTTATATAGCTGAAAAACAATACATTCAATAAAAGGGATTACTTATAACCTACATTCCCAAAGAAGTTGACTTGTAAATACCGAAAATTTAAGACAACCATTAGTAATATAAACATTTTTTTCTCCTAATTTCTTAATGACTATAACCCCAAGTTTTAGGAGGGAAGAAATACCCCCTATATAAACCTTATGGATACTGATAGCCCAAAATTCAGATGCACATCCACTGCTAAGTACAGAAACAAAATTCAGCCTTTCACAAGTGTCTTTCCCTTAGCTCTGTGAAAAATGCCACAGAGAAGTCGAGGCAATTGGCAATTTTTGATTTCATTATACGAATATTTTATTCTGATGTAAGGCTTCTGAGAAATTCTATTTGATTTTTAGCAGCAATATCATTAATAATAACTATATACTGGCTGTGTGCAGTGGCTCATGCCTGTAATCCCAGCACTTTGGGGGGCTGGGGCTGGTGAATCACTTGAGCCCAGGAGTTTGAGACCAGTCTAGGTAACACAGTGAAACACCATCTATACAGAAATACAAAAATTAGCCAGGCATAGTGGCACACGCCTACAGTCCCAGTTACTAAGGTAGCTGAGGCAGGAGGATCCCTTGATCCCTAGAGATTGGAGGCTACATTGAGCCATGATTGTGCCAGTGCACTCCAGCCTGTGTGACACAGCAAGACCCTGTTTCAAGGCAGAAAAAAAAAAAAAGAAGAATATCTACATAAAATCAATGAAAATTTCTGGTGGGGCATGGTGCCTTTTGCCTGTAATCCCACCACTTTGGGAGGCCGAGGCAGGCGGATTACCTGAGGTCAGGAGTTTGAGAGCAGCCTGGCCAACATGGTGAAACTCCGTCTCTACTAAAAATACAAATATTAGCCAAGTGTGATGGCATATACCTGTAATCCCAGCTACTTGGGAGGTTGAGGCATGAGAATCACTTGAACCCAGGAGATGGATGTTACAGTAAGCCAAGACTGCACCACTCCAGCCTGGGTAACAGAGTGAGACACTGTCTCAAAAAAATAAAAAAAATAATAAAATCAATGAAAAATTTAAATATTAAAACTATAAATTGTTCACATATAGGCTACTGCCAACCCCCATTCCCCAGGCATCTAAATTTAGTTTTAGTGCCAAAGATTAGAAGTTTTTTTAATGTTTATAATATCTTTTCAAACTTGTTCTTGTTGGTAAAAAGTTGTAATGAGCAAAATGCTTAATGAACCAATCTATAAATTTAATGTAAAACACTGAGAGTCTAAGATGACAAAGGCTTCTACTTATTAACAAATACTATTAAATATGTGATTAATATTTATCAGCACCATACTATATTACACTCAGGTAAGTTGAATTAGTTAATGGTAAGTATATCTTTCTAAAATAGACAGTCACATTGTGACACAAGTTCCCTTCTTAGGTTTAATTTCACGTACCCCAGTTGTTTGGGTACTTTTTTCCTTGGCTTCTTCTCCTTTTCCCCTTCGTCTTTCCGCTTCCGTTTCTTCATCTCGATATCATCTTCTTTTATTTTGGGAACCTGTGAAATGATAAAAGAATGTATCATTTATGTAAGTATCAATGCTTTACTCTTTGATGTTAGCAATCCAGCATCAGCAGTGTTTTTTCTCAAATATCAGTGTGCATTACAATCGCTTGTTATAAATGCAGATCCTTGGGGTTCAAGAGCACTCTCACCTCTGGTTTCAATTCAGTTATCTGAGTTAGAACCTTCTAATTTGCATTTTAAACAAGCATTCTGGTAATTCTGGTACAAGTAAGTCTTTGGACCACACTTCAAGAAAAACTTATCTAAGGACACTGTATCCTTCCCAAAGACAATGTTCCCAAAGACAAATTCTATAGATTTTGTTACAAATCACATCTTAGGAAAGGTAACAGCTATTAGTCATTACTATAGCAAGTCTTAACCTATCTGAGAAATATAACCTTATCACAGAACAATAAATTGATGGCCCAGATTTGTAGAGTTTTTTAAAAAAAATACAATTTTATGATGTAAATACTAATATCCCTATATCTACATAATTTAACTATAAATCATGTAACTAACTGTGTATTCATGAAACAATGGTTTGCATTTTACTTTTCCTTATATTCACACTCATAACACAAGTAACATTCAAAAATATATCCTATTAACTGAACATTCTCATTACTGTTGCAATGTTTGATAAACTCACTTTGGGTGGCTTGTGCTTTTGGTTGTCCGTAGTATCATCTTCTTCAGTATCTGAAGCTTGGCGAAACTGCAGAGTGCCAGTGTTGATATAAAAGCCTCCGTATTTTGTCGTTAGAGAAGCGGGAACTAATTCATCATACTAGGTAAGAAAAAAAAGTTTCAGCTATATCCTATTGTCTTTAACTCTATAAATGTCAAAGAAATTCATTCACCACAGCAGCATCTCCCTTAAATCCGAGTTGCAACACAGACTGTAATGAATATTTTGTATAAATTTACAAAGTTAATATCTGGAATAAAAATTAGCGCTGATAATTTGGTATATACATATATGAAAAAACTTCCAAAATAATGAAATAAATTCTAAATGTATCACCTGCTAAGAAACATTTAAGGGTAACTGCTACTACTACTTTTTTTTTTCCTTCCCACCGCTACTTTTCTTAATGACAAATGGTTCTGTTGAGAAACCAAGTTAAAAAAGAGGACTAAGTGTCCAGATAAGGAGTAAATTTCACTTCCCACCATAAGGAGGTTTTATAAAGAATAACAAACTTTTTTCTATCTTAGCCCTATACTTTTAAGTGGAGAAAATCTTAAAGACATTTAATTTAGGCCAGGCATGGTGGCTCACACCTGTAATCCCAGCACTTGGGGAGGCTGAAGCAGGTGGATCACAAGGTCAAGAGTTCAAGATCAGCCGGGCGCGGTGGCTCAAGCCTGTAATCCCAGCACTTTGGGAGGCCGAGGCGGGTGGATCACGAGGTCGAGAGATCGAGACCATCCTGGTCAACATGGTGAAACCCCGTCTCTACTAAAAGTACAAAAAATGAGCTGGGCATGGTGGCTCGTGCCTGTAATCCCAGCTACTCAGGAGGCTGAGGCAGGAGAATTGCCTGACCCCAGGAGGCGGAGGTTGCGGTGAGCCGAGATCGCGCCATTGCACTCCAGCCTGGGTAACAAGGGCGAAACTCCGTCTCAAAAAAAAAAAAAAGAGTTCAAGATCAGACTCGCCAACACAGTGAAACCGTGTTTCTACTAAAAATACAAAAATAAAATTAAAAAAAAAAAAAAATTAGATGGGCTTGGTGGTGGTGGGGCACCTGTAGTCCCAGTTACTTGGGAGACTGAGGCAGAAAAATTGCTTGAACCCAGAAGGCAGAGGTTGCAGTGACACAAGATCGCGCCACTGCATTCTAGCCCGGGTGACAGAGTGAGATTGTTTCAAGAAAAAAAAAAAAAAAAAAAAGGAAATATATTTTAGAAGAAGAATAGCACAGAAAAACAACCGCTCTGTTCAGAAAGTACATTCTTGAGGACCTAGAATGAGCAGGCAATTTGCTTAAAGCAAGGGACTCAATTTGTTTATTAAATCACACCTATGTCCCCAAACGCTGGATCTTAAGGTTTATCATTATCTCACCTGATAAAGATGGATAAAAAGCAAACATTACATGAAGGACAACCTTAACCAAATGAAGGTGTTCAAAGTATTAAAGAAAAAAGGAACTACTTATCTGATAGTAGAAAGATACCCGTTACCTGGGATCTCCAGACCTCTACTTCCGAGGTTCTTCACATCATCTAACTAGTCTTTAAGAAAGTCAGATTTTTAGGAAAACCTCTTTGCCATGGGCAAAGAATATACATATCCTATTAGTTACTGTAGGAATGTTAAGGCTAAGTACAAAAGTTGTGATTTTAAACTGTATCCTTTTAAATTAGGTAGAGAATAGAAAAAGGAAGAGGGACCAGTTTAATCACACTGAATTAAACTGAAATAAAATTAGTGAAGAAAGCTAAAAGAAAAAAATGAACTACTTTCTTATTGTTGTACTTAATACACTACCAGAAAGATCTACTATAAAGAGCTACACTATTGGCCGGGCGTGGTGGCTCAAGCTTGTAATCCCAGCACTTTGGGAGGCCGAGGCGGTGGATCATGAGGTCAAGAGATTGAGACCATCCTGGTCAACATGGTGAAACCCCATCTCTGCTAAAAATACAAAAAGTTAGCTGCGCATGGTGGCGCGTGCCTGTAACCCCAGCTACTCAAGAGGCTGAGACAGGAGAATTGCCTGAACCCAGGAGGCGGAGGTTGTGGTGAGCCAAGATTGCGCCATTGCACTCCAGCCTGGGTAACAAGAGCAAAACTCCGTCTCAAAAAAAAAAAAAAAAAAGATCTACACTATTATAAAGATCTAACAGAAAAGGGGCAGTACCATAGGCAAATAAAGGAGTGATACAAGGAGTGAAGAATTAAAAGTGAAAGAGTGTAATAAGATATATATTTTTTTCTTTTTTGAGACACAAGTTTCGCTTTTGTTGCCCAGGCTGGAATTCAATGGCGTGATCTTGGCTCACTGCAACCTCCTCCTCCTGGGTTCAAGTGATTCTCCTGCCTCAACCTCTGAGTAGCTGGGATTACAGGCATGCATCACCCTCTGGCTAATTTTTTGTTTTTAGTAAAGACAGGGTTTCTCCATGTTGGTCAGGCTGGTCTCAAACTCCAACCTCAGGTGATCCGTCCGCCTCAGCCTCCCAAAGTGCTGGGATTACAGGTGTAAGCCACTGTACCCAGCAGACTGTTAATAATTTTGAAAAGTGTAACTGTGATAAGATAACTGCTGTATTCTTTGCCTACATTGTTTTGTACAATGCTTTAGAATTTTCAATGCTTCTTCATATAAAGTATTTCATTTGGTCCTAACGATACCCTTGTGAGGTAAGAAAGGCAAATATTACTCTCATGTTAAAAATGAAAGCTAGGTAAGTACCTTACCAAAGCAGTTTTATATATATATATATACACACACATATGTTTTAGCAGTCACTGGCTGCTTCCAACCACACCAAGCTGCTTCATACGGGAGTGAAACACGTTCATCACCAGGTATACAGGGCAATTCTGATGTGCTCCAAGTCTTTTTCTTATGCAGTATTCTGCTGAGCTTTTTGTATCAGAACACTCTTCAGGCGAATAAACTCCTTTTGAATATTTAGTTCAGTCATTTAAGCAGAACATACTAAGAGGTAACACAGTGAACTTAAGAATCAAAAGGCCCGGCTGGGCGCGGTGGCTCAAGCCTGTAATCCCAGCACTTTGGGAGGCCGAGGTGGGTGGATCACGAGGTCAAGAGATTGAACCATCCTGGTCAACATGGTGAAACCCCATCTCTACTGAAAATACAAAAAAAAAAAAAAAAAAAAAAAAAAAAAAAAAAAAATTAGCTGTGCGTGGTGGCATGTGCCTGTAATCCCAGCTACTCGGGAGGCTGAGGCAGGGGAATTGCCTGAACCCAGGAGGCGGAGGTTGCAGTGAGCCGAGATCGCGCCATTGCACTCCAGTCTGGGTAACAAGAGCGAAACTCCATCTCAAAAAAGAAAGAAAGAAAGAAAAAAAGAACACTCTTCAGGAGAATAAACTCCTTATGAATATTTAGTTCAGCCATTTAAGCAGAATATACTAAGAGGTAACACAGTGAACTTAAGAATCAAAAGGCCCGGCTGGGCGCGGTGGCTCAAGTCTGTAATCCCAGCACTTTTGGGAGGCTGAGGCCGGTGGATCACGAGGTCAAGAGATTGAGACCATCCTGGTCAACATGGTAAAACCCCATCTCTACTAAAAATACAAAAAATTAGCTGGGCATGGTGGTGCGTGCCTGTAATCCCAGCTACTCAGGAGGCTGAGGCAGAAGAATTGCCTGAACCCAGGAGGCGGAGGTTGCGGTGAGCCGAGATCACGCCATTGCACTCCAGCCTGGGCAACAAGAGCGAAACTCCGTCTCAAAAAAAAAAAAAAAAGAATCAAAAGGCCTGGATTTAGATTCTTTGCCCATGACTAGCTACTGCGACCCAGGGAAAATCACTTAGTATCAGTTTTGGAGAGTTATAAAACAGGGACCATATTGCTTCACAAAGTTCTAGTGAAATTTAAAAGAGACCATCTAAATAAAAGTGTCATTCATGCTTGGTATCATTACTTATTAATAAGTAATAACATTTTCTTTCAGATCTTTTACAATTTGCTAGCATAAATATGAGACTAAAAATAATCTTCAAAAGCATTTATTTTCAGGCATTTATTTTTAGTACTTAGTACATGATTCAGAATATATCAAATAATATGCCAACACTGAAAACTTACTGGCAATACAATAAATGAAAAGAACAAGAATCATTTTGGTTCGACCATAGTTGTTTATGTCTGAATTATCTCATAAAAACAACTAAACAATATGTCAAGGGAAAAGATACTAAGTTACTTTGTAAGTCAAGCAACCTGCATTTCAGTTCAATTTCTTCGTATGAAACAGGAACCTACCTTGTTCAGAAACTAGTTGTATGACTAAACAATTTATATCTACAAAATTTATCCTAACTTATTAAAACAATAGCTTTCAACTTTTCTTCACCACAACCGAAGTGGAAAATACATTACACATCAAAATCTAGCATACACATACACACCCCATAAAACTGTATAGTCTACCAATAAAGTACCGATAGTTTTTATTCTATTTGACTTAATTTTCTTTAAAAGTATCAGTGACACCCTTTTAAGTTTATATGTAATCCGATTATGGGTTACAAAAGTCAGCCTGAAAATATCCTAAATGCTACAAAAGGAAATATTAAAAATGCTATTTATAAAAGTTACATACTGTATTACTTTCTCTATTAGACATTCTGGAAAAAGGAAAACTATGAAGACAGTTAAGACCAGTAGTTGCCAGTAATTAGGAGGGAGGGAGGAATAGGCAGAGCACAGAAGATTTTGAGGGAAGTGATACTACACTTCTGCGTGATGCTACCACAGTAGATATATGTCGTTATTCACTTGTCCAAACTCACAAAGCGTACAAGCCCAAGAATGGACCCTAATGTGAACTATGAACTTCGGTGACAATGATGTGTCATAATGTTGGCTCGTCAGCTATAACAAATATACTACTGTGGTACAGGATGCTGAGAGTGGGGAAGGTGGTGTATGCACAGGGGCAAGGTGTTCACGGAAACTCTGTATTTTCTGCTCAGTTTTGCTGTGACTCTAAAACTGCTCTAAAAAAATAATGTTTAGTAATTTAAAAAAGCTACTTATGTAAGTGTGAGTATATATGATGCCCATTTACATATGGCTAAATTCCTTCTTGGTTATTTAGAATTCAAAATGTACACATAATGTTAACACTTCTACTGATGCTTTGCACCTGCTTCATGTTCTTCAGCTAGTTTACATTCATTACCTTATTTAAGGCACAATTAATTCTATGGGGTAAGCAAGTCATAGCAGAGAAAACCGGGTGTGCTAAAAGACTCACTCCTGGCTACACAGCAAATTAGAAACTGAATTAAGATAATAATCTAGACTTCTGCACTGAGTTACAAATCAAGGTCAAGACTCTGGAAAACATTCCATGCCCTGATTTATTGGTTGACAACCTTTTTTGTAATAGGAAGGCCACTTTACTCCAAAGGGCACTGGCAATATGTTACCTATACAGACCAAGATGCCTAATATGGTAACTAAGTTTATGTCGGGACACCGGAAGTAACTTAGGAGTTTGACAGAGTATCCAATGTGCCCCATGTTGAAGTCCTTACTGTCACTCTCCTACCTTTATATGCTCTGTCATCAACTTTACAGGCAACCACGGTAGCAACAGAAAAAAAGACATACTATATAATTTGTGGGTAGGGTAATAGTCACCTAGCAACACTTTCTGTATATCCTTAGTAATTACTGCACACTGCAGAGGATATCATAATTTCAGGGATTGTATTACTCTAGTACACGGACAAGAATGGAAGAACATACACCTTCTCTACTGCAAAACATGACTTGTCTTTCGTTCGCTATGTGATCAAGGGGCTGCTTCAGTCCTTAAATGCACTCCTAAATTCTTCTTCCTTTTATAAGAGAAATGAGATTCCAGGGGAAAAGCTGTAGGGCTCAATCAAAAAAGACTGGTGATAAAGGCTGGCATTCAATGTACCATCCCGGTAATAAAGCATGGCAGAAATAAAAAAGTAAATAGATATTATAGATGTCTGCCAGATTAATTTCAACCCATAGCACCAATCTTTAAGACTGCATGGTTCTTACTTTGGAAGTCATTTTGAAACACACCTACCCAAGTTTGAGAATATCAATAAAAATCAAGATGCAAATAAATACCCTTTGACCAACAAATTCCACTGTTAGAAATTTATCCTATCCATATAAATGTACTCTCTAAATATCCTTCATACACATTTACTTAAGTAGATAAACGCACCCAGATGCTCAATTACTTGTATGCACATAAAATTAGAAATAATTTAGATGTACGTCAAATGTGACTAGATAAATTATGTAGTTTAGGTATATTCGCTAACAGCCATTAAAAGGATTATATCTACGTACTAATATATAGGTATCACTGAAATTTCTGGACAACTACATAAGAAGATTTTTAGTATTTACCTCTCAGAAGGGGGCCCCTTTGGGTACTTTACCTTCTACTTCATAACTAACTTGTACTTTGTTGTTGTTTTACCATAAGCATATGTTAATCTTATAATTTAAAAAAGGGAACACTAAAATCTCTGTAGGCCTTGCCTCTAGAAATCCTAATTCCTTAAGTCTGAGTTAAGAAGTATTAGTATTTTCACCCCTGACTGAGAACCATTATCTTAACATAATGTTTTTCAGCATTTGATTTTCCTTTTTACTTTTTTAAAAAAACGTATTTTGGTTCTCAGTTTGGGCAAGGGGTGATGATGGGGTCAAAGCTATAATCACACATCTGAAAATGAGCAACTATTAGAGAATCCCAAGAGATTCTTTCCAGAACTGGAAAGGAGCAGAGCATATGAAAATAAAGACATTGTACAGAGCCAGCAAATCATGGGACACACTGGCCAAATCCAGCCCACTAGCTTCTTTTCATACAACTTCCAAGCTAGGAATGGATTTTACATTTTTTAAATGATTGGAAAAAAAAAATCAAAAGAAAATTACTATTTCATGACACACAAAAATTATATGAAATTTATATTTCACAGACCATAAAGTTTCATTGTAATGCAGCCATGCTAATCCATTTAGGTATTATCTATAGCTGCTCTCATGCTACAATGGCAAAGTTGTGTAGTTGCGACAGAAACCATAAGGTTCACAAAGTCTAAAATACTATGTGGCCTTTTATAGAAAAAAGTTTGATAAAACTAGGTCTAGTTTAATAGTGTAATAACAACTCACCATATATTACAAAATTCTAAACGTGTAGTACTCTTAAAAAATAAAAAAGGTAAATCTTTAAGTAGTGAACATGGCTTTAAAAAGCACAAATAGAAACATTCACTGAACTATTTAAGTTACTTTACCCTTGACTTCTACTATCCCATACAAACAATGAATTTGCTGCTATATTAAAGATACATTACTCACAGCCTCTGAGTTATCAATAAATGGATCTGTCTCATCATAGCCAAAGCCTATATCAATTAAATCTTGTAGCCGATCCTTCCGGTGTTTACGGGGTTTCCCACCCTGCAAAGAACAGATACGTTAGACTGATTTAGCACTCATGCTGTTTCCATAACGTTAAAAAAGACCTGTTAGAAGAATTCAAATGATCTTGTAGATAATCCCCCTCTCCAAGAGGTTTAAGTCCTCCCACACCTTGAGTGCAAGTTGCACTTAGTAACTTGTTCCAAAGAGTATGAAAAGGGGAGGGACAGAGTAACTTCCTGGTGGGAAACCCGGCCACACTTCCTCTCTAAGTGATCACAGTCAACAGCAACAGAGATACATCACATTGACTCCATGTATCCTTGATCTGTGATAAAAACTGCACTTCACCTCTATGATCTTCTCAAAAGCCTACAACCCCAGCCTAACCCAGAGAAAACCATCAGACAAAACCAAATTCAAGGACATTCTATGAAATGAGTGACCGGTGTTCTTCAAAGTTGTCAACATTATCAAAAACAAAGAAAATCTGAAAAACTGCCATGGTATAGATGAACCTAAAGAGAAATAATGACTAAGTGTAATATGGTAACCTGGCTGAGATTCAGGAACAGAAAAAAAGACACTAGGAGAAAAACTAGTAAAATCCAAATAAAATGTGGACCTGAATGGTAGTGTGCCAATGCTGGCTTCTTAGCTGTAACCAATGTACCATATAAATGTAAGACGTTAATAAAGGGGAAAGTGGGTGAAGGCTGTACGAGAACTCACTGTATTATCTTTGTAATTTTCCTGTAAACCTAAAATTATGCTTAAAATTATTTGTTTGGTTCTTTTTTTAAGATAGGGTCTTGCTCTATTGCCCAGGCTGCACTGCAGTGGCATGATCATGGCTCACTACATGTTTATTTTTTCAGACTGGGTCTCGCTTTGTTACTCAGGCTGGAGTGCAGTGGCATAGTCATGGCTCACTGCAGCCTCAACCTCCTGGGCTCAAATGAACCTCCTGCCTCAGTCTCCTGAGTAATTGGAACTACAGGTGCATGCCACACAGCCCTGCTAATTTTTAGGTTTTTTTTTTTGTAGAGACAGGATCTCTCTATGTTGCCCAGGCTGTCTTGAACTCCTAGGCTCAAGCAATCCTCCTGCCTCAGCCTCCCAAAGTGCTGGGATTATAGGTGTGAGCCTCTGGGTCCAGCCTACAAGTATTTGTTTCAATAATCAGACTTACACCCACAGACAGACAAGAAAATGAAAAATGAGTGCATGTAAAAACTGAAATGAGTGTGTGAAATCTGAGTTAAGATCTATTATCTAGTTAACTATATTATGCCAATGTCAATTTCCTAGTTTTGATAACTGTAGATATGTAAGATACTACTACTGGGAGAAGCTGGGTCCAATGGGTACATGGGACTTCTCTGCAGTATACTCGTAACTTTTTTGAGTTTATAATTCTTTTTTTTTTTTTTTTTTTTTTGAGACGGAGTTTCGCTCTTCTTACCCAGGCTGGAGTGCAATGGCGCGATCTCGGCTCACCGCAACCTCCGCCTCCTGGGTGCAGGCAATTCTCCTGCCTCAGCCTCCTGAGTAGCTGGGATTACAGGCACGAGCCACCATGCCCAGCTAATTTTTTGTATTTTTAGTAGAGACGGGGTTTCACCATGTTGACCAGGATGGTTTCGATCTCTCGACCTCGTGATCCACCCGCCTCGGCCTCCCAAAGTGCTGGGATTACAGGCTTGAGCCACCGCGCCCGGCCTATAATTCTTTTTTTTGATACAGGGTCTGGGCTGGGTATAGTGGCTCACGCCTGTAATCCTAACACTTTGGGAAGCTGAGGCAGGCAGATCACTTGAGGCCAGGAGTTTGAGACCAGCCTGGCTAAAATGGCGAAACCCCATCTATATTAAAAATACAAAAATTAGTCAGGTGTGGTGGTAGGCGCCTGTAGTCCCAGCTACTTGGGTGGCTGAGGCTCAAGAATTGTTTGAACTGGGGAGGCGGACGCTGCAGTGAGCTGAGATGGTGCCACTGCATTCCAGCCTAAACAACAAAGCAAGACTGTCTCCAAAAGAAAAAAAACTACACAGGGTCTGGCTCTGTAGCCCTAACTGGAGTGCCATGGTAGGGTTACAGCTCACCTTGAACGCCTAGGTTCAAGCGATCCTTCTGCCTCACACTGCCAAGTAGCCAGGACTACACATACAAGCTACGGTACCCAGCTTAAATTTTCTAAGCATCTTCTAATATTTCCCTGTCCTACGATTTTTTTAGTAGGGGAGTGGGGAAGAGGATGCTTAGAAAAAGGAAGAGAAGGCCAGGTGCAGTGGCTCACACCTGTAATTTCAGCAACCTGGAAGGCCAAGGCAGTAGGACGGTGAGAGCCCAGGAGTTTGAGACTAGCTTGGGTAACAAAGTGAGACCTGTCTCTACAAAAAAAAAATTTGTTTTTCAGATTAGCCAGGCATGGTGGCATGTGCCTGTGGTCCCTGCTACTAGAGAGGCTGAGGCAGGAGGAACCCAGAAGGTTGAGGCTACAGTGAGCCAAGTTCATGCCACTGTACTCCATCCTGGGTGACAGAATGAGACCCTATCTCAAAAAACAAAAGCAAAAACACCACCAAGAAAACAATTAGTGCAAAGGAGTCTGCCAACCAACATGTCACCACTAAGCCACAGTGAGCCTTACAGATAGCATGAGATGCAAGATGTAAATCTCTAGTCACCTCATTTGGTTTCAGCTCTCACACCACATATCTCTCAATGAAAAGTGTGATTCTAATGGTTAAAGATGTGTAAGTCGCAGTAACATGGCCCTTAAATAAAAGCAAATTGCTTCACCTTGCTTCAACACAAAGAAACAGTGATCTGTTCCAGTGCTTGAGGGAAAAATGTTATGCCAGACTTATGAAAGACATTTCCAACATGGTGTCATTCCCTTACAAGTGACGTGCAAAGGCAATTCTGACTAACTGCTATGTCTGTATTACACAGTGATACTAAAAACGGCTAACTCCCACATAAGCTATGACTCTACTGTACGCTTTTCAGTGGACAAAACAACGTGATTACTATACCAGCATCACCAAGAAAGACACTGTGGTGCAAGATATAAGTAGTGGTTCCCATATTTTTAGATTTTACAACATAGGTAAAAGTTTTAAGAACAATTCTAGGAACCAACATAGGGTGGCAACACTTGCATTTTGCTAAATAAGGCCCCTGAGGGTATAATCCAAGAACAATGATCATCTTTCTCAAGAAATACCAGTTGGCAACCTTAAACAACATGCATACATGCACATATACACCTATACACATACACACACACACAGATGTAAGATACATATACACATATATACATACAACACACATATGTGCTTAGATGCAAAATACGTATTAGATTGTCCTTATTTTTCCCATTTTGGCAGATCTGCAGAATGAGACCTTTACATTATGTTACAGAATCACGGTGAGAATCAGAATTCAGGAAAAGGGAAAAGAGAGGTGGGTAAGCGACATTCTATTGAGAAAAAGTTACACAAAAGCAGTTAAGGACATGAGAGATGATTTCACCCTAAATGAGAGAGAGAGAAAGAGATCTAAGATCTAAGAGATGTGACTAGTCCTGCCACATAGTATGTTTAAAGTTATGGGAGTTAAAATAGATGAGGCAGGAATATAAGAATAAAAAGATTAACGGACAGCACTGTTCAGAAACCTACCCTAGTATATAAGAATTAAAGATGAAAAATGCAGCATTACAACTCAGTGGAAAATGATCAAAAACAAATGAGGTTACAGTAAGATATCAATTTCCTCTATCAAATTACAAGCCTTTAAATTCTGAAAAGATGGAGAATAGGACTGCTCAAACACGGCTGATAAGAGTGTACCAATAAAACCCTTTTGGAAAGAAATCTCAAAGCATCTGCCAAAAGACTTCGCAATTCTCTTACATTTTCTTCTTCTGCCTCTTACGTGTTTTCTAAATTTTCTATGATGTATTACTGTCATAACAGAAATACGCTAAAATAACTTTTAAAACTCTTCATCTTATTTGACTCAATAATTCTACATAGCTTATTCTGAACCATTATTTAGGGTCAAAAATATCTGTTAAGAACTTAAGCCATAGAAAGCAGTATGTTAAAATAGCAGAAAGAATTTAAGTATAAAAAGCCCTTGTCTTCAAGTAACTTAAAGCAAGATAATCTATTTAACAAACGTACTGAGGACTTACCATATGCCAGCCTTCATGGATTTTATAGTTATGCACAAGCAGTTAAGTACAAAGAGAAGAGAAAGATTAAACAAATGACTACAATAGTTATAAATGGTAGAAAGGAAAAAGGTTGAAAGGAGACCTCTTCAACAGAAAACCTAATCAAGGCTTCTTACTAAGATATTCATACCCAGCCAAGGACAAGTGGAGTCAAGCACTTGTGTAAGACACTGAAGAAGGGATCAGCACAGGGAAGTAACTGACAAGATCAGTGTTTAACAAACTCCCTCTAGCTACTGGCATGGGGAATTAACACAGGTGGGGAATAGAACATCTAGAAAGAAAAAAAAATGCTCAGATTTGCAAGAAATTCACAAGTTATTGGGGGCATAAAATATATATTTAAATGCCAAGCAAGATCATGATGACAGTTATCATCCACTGAATGCTAACTTTGCATCAGATCCCATACTAAGTACAACCATCTATTATTTCACACTTGACAAATGGGAAAAACTAAGGCTCGAAAAGAACAAGTAACTTATCTAAGGTCACACAGAAAGTATGCAAGCCAATCTTCAAACTCATGACTATCTAACTCCAACGGGACATTCTATTAAAAATTCTATGTGAAAACTTATAGAACCCATAGTGTCATTTTTTAGTTGAAAACACCTTACACTCAATAGACCAAAAGTGAAATTAGTGTTCCCACTGTCATTTGTCTCCAAATTAGCTTCTCCGATTTGACATTCCCATTTTGTTCATCTTTGCAATTTTTCTGCCTTAAAACCAGTATTGGTTAAAATTAAAAGAGTGATGACATCAAATGCTAAAACGGACATGGAGC